AAATTTAAAAAAACCTATAAATTCCCCTAAAAAATCTTTTTCTCACACATTTTTCACTATCTTCTCTCTAAAATATTTATTATTTATTATAAATATAAATGGGTTCATCTTCATCCGACGATGATAAAAGAGCTCTCATTTTTCGTTGTTTCGCCACGAGTTGTATTCAATAGTGGGAAGATGGCGAAGAAGAAAAAGATGAATCCTCCCGACGACGGACCCAACGACAACGTTTAAACTGGGATCGAGTGGCCGCTCATGCTTCACTTCTAAACGACTACTTTAATACTCTGTGTGTTTATACACCGGAAGATTTTAGTAATCGTTTTCGGATGAGTCGTTCTCTCTTTTTACGCATACTCGCCGATGTTGAACGCGAGGTTCCTTGGTTCACCCAACGCTTTGATGCGAGAGGCCGACGCGGGTTTAGTACTGTCCAGAAGTGCACTGCCGCGCTCTGTCACATGGCATACGGGACGACATCTGATATGTTTGACGAATACTTGAAGATGTCGGCTCGGAGCATCAGGTCCTGTGTTTATAAATTTTCTAAAGCCATTATTCAAATTTATCATAAAAGATATTTACGCAAGCCTACAACGAGCGACATTCAGCAGTTACAAGCAAGGCATGCCGCTAAACACGGCTTTGTCGGCATGCTTGGGAGTATTGATTGCACGCATTGGGAATGGAAAAATTGTCCCACTGCGTGGCATGGTCAATTCTCCCGGGGAGATCATCCCGAGCCTACTATCATGCTCGAAGTTGTTGCCTCAAATGTGGCATGCTTTTTTCGGTGTCCCGGGCTCGAACAACGACATCAACGTTCTCGAGCAATTGCCTGTTTTTGACGATTGGATTAATGAGACCGCACCCGACTCGTCTTTTGAGCTTAGAAGGACGCTTTACAAGCGTGGATATTATTTGGCTGATGGAATATATCTAGATTATTCCACGATTGTCAAATCCCTCTCCGAAGCAATGGGTCTTAAACGCTAGACCTACAAAAAAGTTCAAGAGGCGGCGAAAAAAGATATTGAACGAGCCTTCGAGGTCTTGAAGGGTAAATGGCACATTCTAGATCGACCGTCGAAATGTTTTTATCAAACGAAAATGAGGAATATCATGTACGCATGTATTATTCTTCATAATATGATCATAGAGGACAACGAGACTGCAATTTGTCAATACAACCCGGACGAAGAGGTGCATATGTACGAAGAAATTAACGAAGAAAAGAAACGAAGAAACCGCCAAAAAATTCGAAGCCGAGAGATTCACAATGCACTAACGGCGGATTTGATCGAACATATCTTTAGTCGCTCGAATACTTAGTAATTTCTTTGTAGTGTTGTTTTTTTATGTAATATTTTTTTTAATGAATGTAATTTTTTTTATGAATTTATTTTTTATGAATATAATTTTTTTCTAATGAATGTAATTTTTTTAATGCACTAGTCTCATTGCAATTAATTTAAATAATAAATTTATTAAAATTTATTAATTTAAATTTAGAAAATGTATATTTAAAAAGTGTAAAAAATGAAGGTTTGAAGCCCATGTTTGAAGCCCTGGGGCTTCTAACCCATTTCCACTGAATCTCAATGTTCTGAAAATCGGACCGGACGTCGACTCGGATGAGGTACTGGGTCAAGGGTTGATCGGTCAAACCGGGGGTCAACGACCCGGTCAAATATATGTAAATAATAATATTTTATGTTACCCTGTATATTATTAGACGACATATATAGTAAATAAAATTATTATAATTTATACTTTTTTTATTTCTACATCTAGATTTTAGTTTCATTGTACATATACTACGTACTATTTTACATCTTTTGTTTTTTATTCTATTATTTTTCATTATTATTGCGAAAATCAAGTTAATAGTGAATATCTTTGAAGTATTCATTTTTCAAAAACATAAAGACTACATATTCTGTTCTTATATACTATTAAACAATTTTAAAAATTATATTTAGTTGAATTAAATTTTTCAAAAAATAGAAAATGCAATACATTAAATTATAATCAATATTTTAAAGATGAAAATACTTTGTATTATTTTAAATATAGGTTTTATAATTACTTAGATAAAAAATAAATAATACTAACTTTTAGCTTTGAATTAACTTAAAAGTTCATAAAATAAATGAAGAGTAATTATGATAATAATATTGAGTATTCTCTATATTTAATAAGTATGAATATTTTCAGGTTATAATGTATTATCTAAACAATTATTGAAAGTGATATATACTCAGTTGCAAAACTTAGGAAACAAGTTCCTTATTAGCTCAGGTGGTTAAACTCCTTGTATGGCAAGAGAACAAGGGTTTGAAACCTGGGCTAGACATTTATATTTTTAACAGCTGTTTCACTAAACCCGGGAACCGGTCGGTCCTACCCGGGTCATCCGGGTTGGCGGTTTTCCTGGTTCTGGATGGGCCAACTCGAAAACGGGTTTCAACAATGAACCGGACCGGAAATGTGACTGGGTCACTGTTCAACCGGTTGGACCGGCCGGTCCGATCCGATTTTAATAACATTGCAGTGAATCTGTGAAGTAAGTTAAAGCTGACGTGGTAGAGAGAGAAATTTTGAAGCCCCAATTTCAAGCCCCGGGGCTTCAAGAGTATTTCCAGTGCTCTTAGCTATGTATACTTCTTCATTATTGATGTTAAATACAAATAAATGTAAAGACGTTTAGACATTGAAAGGTCATGTTCGCAAAAATAAAAAAAAATAGTGGGTACATAATTTTATTTCCTTTTACTTTCTAAGTATAATATTTTTAACATATATTTTATATATAATTTGCTTTTATATTATTAGAAATATTTATAAGATATATGTGATAGAGAATACAGAGTATATTTAATTCGAGAAAAGTTTAGAATAATTGTTTTTTATTTCAATTTATGCATGTTATCATTTAAAAATACAAAGTAGAGATTGATTTAGTGTATGATTAATTTTAAAATTATTGATTTCATTTGACATGTTCATCATTTTATGCAATTCAAAGATGTTGATGGAAACCTTTTTTTCGGGGCGTCGACCAGACAAACTCGGTACGCGGACCGCCGGAGAGGACCGCAGAGAGGACCACCGAAGAGGAACGCGGAGGGGACCGCAGGAGAGGACCGCGGAGAGGACTGCCGGAGAGAGGCTCGCCACCACCGTCCGTGGTTGTTCGCTGCTGCCCGGCCAGGGTTCACCGGAGTGGACCACTACTAGTGGTATGGCTCGCCGCTGGATCCCGCCGGAGGTGAAGCTAGAGGGCTCGCCGATCTGGGAGGAGGCTCACCGTCCCTGGTGGAGGGTACTGCCAGCGGCCCTGTCGCTTGCTCGCTGCTCGCCGGAAAGATCCGCGTTGTTCTTCAGGATTCAATGTCTTCGAGCCTCTTCTTTACTGGATCTGGGCGGCCAAGAAAATGCAGCAAACTACAAGGTACGGGCAGAGTATATTTTTCTCTCTCTTCCTTTTGTTTGACTTTTCTCCACTTCCAATCCCTCTCCTCCTTTTTTTCTTTTGTCCTTTTCTCTTCCACCCCTCTCTATTTTTGCCTTTTGTTTTTGTTTTCGTATTTTTCTCCTCTCTCTTTCTTCTTTTTTCTTTTGTTCCCCAACCCTCTTTTTTGCTCTTTTTTTACTTTCTCCCTCACTTTTTCTCTCCATTACGGAGTCGGAGCACAAAAGTTTTTCGTGACCGGGTCCCACGGTCGGCGCTAGTGATGGAAACCGCTTTTTTGGGGCGTCGACCCGACAAACTCGGTATGGGTCGGCACCGCACCGAATAGCAAAATCTGTAAAATAAATAAATAAAGCGGAAAGAAAGTATTTATACGTGAATACCCAAATCGTGAGAAAGCCACAGGCCTTTTTAGGTGGTGCCATGCCAAGGGGATGAACTTTTATTAATCTCGGGAGAATTTACATATACATCATTGTAGGAGCTTGGAGCCATTAATGGAGCTCCAAGCTTAAAGAAGAAGAAGAATGAAGAATAATACTCCGTAGTAATAACTAGTAGGAAATTGGCCTCTTGAGTATGTAGCCTCGTAGGAGAATAATCTTCACCCTCTCATGGGGATGACCTCCCATTTAAAGGAAAGTTAGCATATCACATCGGGCCCCTTCTTTATGTGATACTCACATGGGTCTCATGTAGGTGTGTTTATCACCGATCCCATTCCATATTTACATATCACTTCAAAGTATCTTCTTCGTCTTATATCTCTGGCTCCATCTTGAATAATTTATCTGATTTATATCTTGGGCTAGATAAAATTGGGCTTTCTTGTACTGTTCAAATAATATTGGTTTAGGTAAAATCCCTAATCCATCAGATGTATTATGGTTTGTATGTTTATCTAACTATTATATTTTGGATATATGGATAACTTATTTTCTGTGTAACTATTAATTCTATTTTTTTGACTATTTCAAAATTAGTAAATTTCGTGTATAAAAATAGTTAGAAATTTGGAAAAGAAAAATAAATTTTCAAACTCTAACAAAAAAATTATATTTAAAAGTGATCAATCAAAAATATATATTTGGGTGAGCTAAGGTGTATAAAAGCATAATAAATGTGAGTTCAACCATTTAGTCAGAAATATTAACAGATCTCCGAAATAAAAAGTCTAGAGAGTCACTCATAAGTAGGTAAAAAGAATCTTTTTCATGTGTGCACATGTGTATACCAACTTTATTACATATTCAAATTTAATTTTAATTTCACATTTTTTAAAATGAAATATAAACTTTATAGATATATTTTACGTAAGAATATATGTATCCGTGTGAAGCACAGATTTGTCTTTAATTTCACATTTTTTTAGAAAAATGGAATATAAAATTCATAGATATATTTTCTGTGGTATGTTCTAGTTGTATCACGGACTGTCACGGATCGCGCCCACCTATATGAAGCACGAATTTATTTTTTATTTCACATTTTCTAAAAATGTCATATAAAATTTATTTTTGAATAGGTATAAACTAACATGTCAAGACAATAGTTTCATGTCAATTATAATAAAATTAGATGTCATCGCTAAAAGTTTGCGTCAATAGATGAGAGAAAAAGTGAAGAGAATAACTTGATTTAACGAAAAATGAATAGTATATGGACCGAATTGCTCCAGTTTTGAGTAAATGAAATATTTTATGTTGGACACAATTTTATTATGTGGCCTGAGTTATCATTTATCTAATTAATTGATCATTGACCTAATAAATACCCTACGTATTTAATTGGTAATTATTCGATGGACGTAATTACCCTTACGACCTAATTAGGGTTTCCCCTTGGGTGTATATATATAGAGGTCATTAGGCAGAGATCAATACACCAATCTTACGCTTCCTCTCTGCCTCTCTATTCTCGTGAGTCATTCTCACCTTAGCCATCATAACAATACACCCTAAACGGGAACTCGATCTGCGTGAGAATCATGGCCTCATCCCTAACTGCGTTTACAGGATTATCAGGTACACATGATTAAATCCCTAATTTATATTTTATGTTTAAGAATTGATCAACATTTTAAACATTTTTATATAGTGCAGAGACTTTTACGATAGTCATTTTCTCATGTTTAAATATTTTTATATAGTCTTAAACACAAGTTGATAGTAGTTTTCTCATGTTTGATTGAAATAGAAAATGAAAACGAAAAAGAAAATAGTAGAGGGAAGTCATAAAAGTTTCTCACCCACTAGTTAAAAAACAAATCTATTGAGAAATATGCCTAGTTTTTTCTTAATTCTGATTATAGTATAATATGCCTAGTTATTTCTTAATAGTATAAAAGATGGATAATAGAGTACAATTTATAAATGCTGGAATTTTAATTGTCAGGTTGAAAATGAAAATTTTGTAGGATAGATGTTAATTAATAACGTTGGGAAAATCACAACCTAGTTAATTAAACCCCTAAGCAACTTCTAGTATCAAAGACCCAACTTACAATCTCATAACTCGATGCACCATTGGAAAGATTGTCCAAATTCCAAAAGACTAAAATGAAATGATAGAATACAAAAATATAGCATGTCCTTTCAGTAAATTCAAAATGTTAAAAAGCAAAAACAAGGGGTTTAAAAAGACCAAAATCATAGAAAGAAGCCCATATTAAAAAATAACACATGCTTTTGTGAGATCCCATTATATTCCCATTGAAATGCGAGGGTCTCAATATTCTATACTTCAAGGGAGTCCTTTAATTAAAAATTACCAAACATGGTAGATGCTAACCGGATTTATTCGAATGGTGATCCCTCAAAAACTCTACCCAAACATGACATTTTTTCCTAAAAAAATAGACACATACTCCCTCCGTCCCAATTTAAATCGTCTGTTTTGACTTTTGGACATATTTAAGGAAAATAAAAAATAGAGTTGATTTTCCGAAATTGACATTACTTTTTAGGAGGGGTGATGATGAATGAAAAGATAAGGTGAAGAAGTGTGACTTATTTTAGGGGTAGTTTAGGTATTTTATTTTTAAAAGTTTACGAAAACAACTAACAGGCAACTTATTTTGGGACGGAGAAAAAAGGCAAACAGGTAATTTAAAATGGGACGGAGGGAGTACATTTCACCAAAATTATCGCTATTTACACATGCATATACTAAGATTCTATTATTTAGGGCTTAAACTCTTAATTTCTAGTTTCGTCCAGTTCGTTCACGTTCTTCCGGAATCTTCTGGTTCCAACTATTCTCATTTTCTTCAAACTCTTTCTACTCCCCAATCAATTACCCAAAAAACGATATACTCCGTATATTTTAATGTGATTATTATTATTATTATTATTATTATTATTATTATTATTATTATTATTATTATTCTTTTTATTATTATCATTATTACAACTGTTATGTTCATAACTATAGTTTATAAATTATTTTTTTCATCTCACTATTTTTACGATTCACACTTATTATTTTTTCAACTTTTTAATATGAATAGGCTAAATTTTTTGTATATTAATCTACTTGATAAAATAGGAAAACATCAATATTTTAAACTATATTAAAAATTATGGATAAAATAGTTTCATAGAATGTTTTATTAACTTAACTTTATATAAGACATGCATCCCACTTTTTCAATTATTACTCGAATTTTTGTCATTTTTCTAATTCTTATAAAAAAAATTAAAAATCAAAATAATTTAGAGAAAAAGACTAAAATAGGAGTAAAACATAAAAAATGTAATAAAAAAGAGTGCTACGTTATTTCAAATGAACAATTATGTTACCTTACTTCAAAATGAGTACTATTCGGCTGTATCTTATTTTTGGTACACCAGATGTACCTATACGCACTCCCTAATTCTAATGGTTATCAACCACGGTTGATCAATCCTGATGGTAAATAATGAACGATGGAAATGGGACACGAAGCTTGGGCAGAAAACATTTTTTCCTTTTATTTTTTTCTCCAATTCTTTTCCTTTTTGTGAAGATAGTATAGATTTTAAACAAACAAATAAAAATAAATAATAAAATTAAAACTAAAGAAATAATTGAAAAAGGGGAAGAATATGTCCGTCCCGACACACGAGCTACATGCCGACACAGGAGCTACAGACGGGCGGACGACAGATGAGGCTGTCAACGCCGCACACCTAGAGGGAAAATAGCCGTTATATGTTTAAAAATTAAGAAAAGACAAAAAATATCTGTTATAAGATTTAAAAAAATATTTTTTTTGCACCACCATTATTTCTTTATTTGTATCTAAATATTTTTATGTAAGAATGGTTAACAACCAATAAAACTAATAAGTAATAAAACTAAAATTAAGAATTGAAAAAAGGGGAAGAATGCGTCCGTTCCAAGTGACAAGTTGTGGACGACAGACGAGGTCGTCAACATCGCACGCCTGGAGGGTGTCGGCCACATCACCTCGGGAGGAAGACAGATGGCTGCGTTGGAGGCCTTTATATATTTAATTTTTGCATGGGTGGCCCGAAGGATGTGCAAAGTGACTAACCTCACAGATTCTCTAAAATTTTAGGCCCTATATTTTTAAATTCATCATTCATTTTGAAGCATAAGCATTCTAAAATAATAAAATAGGGCCCAAAATGTAAAATTCAGCTTGGGCCAATTTCATTTTTTCACATTTCGAGACCGGCCCTGAATTTTTGAGTCAATACAATGTTTTAAAATCAATGAAATGAAAGAATACTATTGGGGTGAAGTGCGTAGTGATAATGATGATGATGATGATGATGATTGATGGTGTAAATATAACTGGGTAGGTTGACCGGGTGTGACCTGGACACAGACTATACTCGTAGTAAATACACACAATCAGAACACAAACTATGACCTAGACTGGGTAAATCTCTTCAGTTCGAATTATATTTCTTACTCTGTCTTAAGAGTATACTTTTAGTGAGATAAAATTTGGATTCCCTCCTCTATCCATTGCTAACATATTTATAGAGAAGGATATGTGACCTTTACATGTTCATCCATGAACAAAATAGGAAGCTCGTGGGAAGGTCACTGTACATAATGGAATTACTATTCAATCATGGACTTGCCATTAATACAAACAAAACGCACTGTTCAATCAATGATATTAAGAGGATGTCTCTGTCCCATCAATCCTATAAGACAACGAATATTCCTTCCAGTGTTTGTATCGTGAAGGATGAGTGGCGGGGTGGTCCCTTGATCTTCGATGTGAATCGCCATGCTTAGGAGATTGGATGAATGTTATCCAAGGAGGATAATATGACCGGTCACCTTTCCTCAAAGGTTACCTGGTCATTTCTTGAGCTCAGGATTACCTACTTGGTCTTTCGTAGCATCCATCGTAACATAAGGTGACATTTTGATTAACGCCCAAAATGTGACCGGTCACTTTTCAAGAAAAGTGACCGGTCATATTTCGACCCGTATCTTTCGAAGAGTTTTCCTCATTTTACAATTGAGGAAAGTGATCGATCAACTTTTTAACCTGTCCCTTTCGGAAATTCGGGTCGGGTATAAGGAGATATACCCATCAATGGTGATGATGATGATGATGATAATAATAATAATAATAATAATAATAATAACAATAATAATAATAACAACAACAACAACAATAATAATAATAATAATAATAATTTCTTCCCTAGCTTGCTTGAGTGGTCAGAACTCAGAAGCCCACTCTCTAGCATAATGGAGAAGTTCATTCAGGTTCAAGTCCTAGGAGAGGCAGTGACATTGATTTTTGGTAGGAAGATCAAAGTAGGACTAAAACATTGAAAATATACCAAAATAGGTCTTTCATATTTTTATTCCCGAAATAGGACTTACATTACCAAACATGGTCATGTATATTACCAAAAAAGTATAGTAATGTGCACATGTACAACGTCACATTACCTAAGTGCAAAGTCCTATTTTGCGAAAAAACATGAAAGTTCTATTTTGGTACTTTTCTCTGTGTTTTAGTCCTATTTAGGATGATTGCTATTGATTCTTTATGCGTCATTTAGTGGAGAATATTATAAACTGATCGAGTCAATAACATTCAAAATAATAATAGTAATGTTAATAATAATACTTCCTCCGTCCCTGAGTGTTTGTCCACTTTAGTTTTTTTCGATCAAAATCAGTAAACTTTGACTTTAAATTAAATAAAAATTATATTCGATATTGATACAAAAATAATTTTATTAGATTTATCATATCAGATATTTTCAAAATATTATTTTTTCTAATTAATATACAATATATATGTTATTTAATTATAGGTCAAAAGTTGAAAACAAGTGATCAAAAAAAGTCAAAACTAGACAAACACTCAAAGACAGGGGTAATACTATTCAAACTATAGTTACACTTACAAAAGGAAGATGTTGTCTACAATTTGGAATATAGTTTTTCGCGTACACGTAAATTATTCCATGAAAGAATAATGAAAAATGCTAGGGGTACACCTTTGGTGTACCCCATTTGTCCCCCACCCCCTCCATTACCACAAAAATGAGCAAGAATTTTAAAAAAAATTAAATAAATAAAAAGGTAGAAAGACCAAAGTAGGATTAAAACATTGAAAATATACATAAATAGGACTTCCATGTTTTTATTCCCAAAATAGGACTTACATTACCAAACATGGTCATATAGATTACCAAAAAAATATATTAATTTGCACATGTACACTGCCACATTACCACAATGCAAAGTCACATTACCACAGTGCAAAGTCCTATTCCGGGAAAAAAACATAAAAGTCCTATTTTGGTACTTTTCTTTATGTTTTAGTCCTATTTAAGATGATTTCTAAAATAAAAAATAGATAAAAATGGATGGTGGAGAAGGGGGTGAGGGACAAATGGGTACGTGGAGCCCTAGCATTGCTCAAGAATAATATTGGGCCGTTTAATTCGCATAACAAAATTTCCTTCCGGCCTCCATCCTTTTCGTTCTTCCGCCAACCTTAGATTTCTGATTTGATCTGGAGACTGGAGTTACAATGAAAGCTATTTATGAGGTTACGATAGGTCTGATTCCTCCTTCCTCCGGCATCCAGCTCGATCTCCGGTCCCTGCTTCAATTTCCTTCCCACCTTCAAAATTTTCGAAGCAATCGGGAATGGAGTTCGGAACTTGCCTTAAATCTACCTTCAACCAAACCTCTTTTTTCCTCTGCCGACCGATTACTCGGCAGAACACTCGCTACCACCGTCCGTGTTTATCTCGTTCTGCTCCTGCGTCTATGCGCTGCCGGGCAACTGCTGAAGTGCATAGGAATAGGAAGAACAGCTCATTTGGAACCGTCGAAAAGGTAGCCCCTTTTTATTAATCTTGTCATACAGACTATATTCTTTGCCTGTTTTGAGTTTTTCTGTGATGATTCGAACTTAAATTTTAAGAAATATACTTTTGTATATTAAGAAACCTTATTAAGAAAGTTGAAGTACCACACATTTTATTCTTTTGAAGGAAAGTAGAAAGTTATTTTGTTATATATAAACAAAAAAGAAAAGGTGGAAGAGTTTTCCCGCAACAGCAGGAGCATAAGATTGATGAGTGGAGCCATTTTACTTATTTGTTCAAGTGTTGCTCTACCACTTGAATATTTCTGCAAATCATGGAACATGATGAATGTGACTTGCAGTTGAAATGTTGATCTTAAAAAGGCTCATCAATAGGAATGCTAACATTGTGTTCCATTTGCTGAGACTAGCCATCATCAGCACTTCATTTATGTTGGTTGAAAAAAGTGTTCTTTTTTATTATCCAGGTCAAAACAACGTCTGCCAATAGCTCTTGTGATTTGGTACTATCAAGTTTAACAGCTGTATGCTTGTTGGATGGCTGTTATTGGGATAAAATTAAGGCCCTGGCTCCGTTCATGAGCGAGTTTGGGCTCATTCGCTTTCGAGTTTTAGTTGAGGTGTTCCACTTTCTTTGAGTTGCTTTTTCATGTTTTTATTTGGAAATGGATGTATATGTAATAATGATATCATAATGGTGGCTCTCTGTTTTTCTTGTTGGTCTTGATATGTGATTGCATTATGATTTATGTTGTTTTGCTAGTAAACAACAAACAAACAACAACAAAGCCTTATCCCATTAGGTGGGGTCCGCAACATGGATCAAACAATGTCATTGTGTCCTATCATGTATCATACCTGACCTGAGTATTAAGAAAATGTTTGTAGTGACTTCTTTTTGTTTAGATTAATCTACTGAAAATCAATATAAGAACATTTTAAAAAAATTGTTGGGTATTATATTTAAAAGTATCAGCAGTTGGATACCAAAATAAAAAAAATGGTTACCTCTCACCTTTTCATCAAAACTTTCCATTCAGTGCACTCACAGTTGTGGTTCAATTTTCAGTTTAAACTTAAATTTACCTTCATTTCATCAAGTCTATGCAGAAAAAACTGTGAATTTTAAAATGACTTTTCTCTTCTCTATAGTCTATAAGTGAAACACATATGTTGTTTTTTTCCAGATTGAGTGGTTGTTAAAGCTTTCAGAAGTTCCAGAAATCCCCGAAGTTCCTGATTTCTCTCCGGGAGCGAAGTCGTTCTTACATGGCTTGATTGATGGATTTAGCTTGGATGATGCCATGGAAGTGAAGGAAATTGAGAGAGTGACTAACCATGATGTTAAAGCAGTGGAGTACTTCCTGAAACAAAGATGCCAATCACATGAAGAAATTTCAAAGGTTTATTAAGTTGTAGACATGCTTTTATGTGCGCGCGTACAAACACTGTTTTAGTAAAACAATATTTTGTGTCCCTGAAATATAAATGAACTAAACGAGGAATACAATTTTGATACAATTTTGTCTTACAAAGGTCAATTTATCTTCACATATATGACACAACCTTTGTAGCTTTGGAGTATAAATGGAGAAAAAGGATTTGTATGATTTTGTATTTATTTAATTTTCATGTGACCTGAAATTTGTTTTTATGTGTATCGTATTTTTGTCTAGGTGCTTGAGTTTTTCCATTTTGCATGCACTTCCGAGGACATCAACAACCTAGCACATGCATTAACACTAAAAGAAGCTATTAACAGTGTTATATTGCCAGTCATGGATGAGCTGATCACAACAATCACTAACATTGCCACAAAGATTTCTCATGTCCCAATGCTTTCCCACAACCATGGGCAGGTAAATAGTGTGCCCATCTTTTTCATAGTTCTGAAATCTTGCTGATTTGTCCAATATATAATCCTAAGCATTGTTAAGATATACAGTGTTAACAAATCTTGAAAGCAGCTCTAATCTAGTATGTTGTAGCCAGCTACACCTACAATGCTAGGCAAGGAAATGGCCGATTTTTCATGTCGGTTATATACAACGAGGCAGGAGATTTCACAAATTGAGATGAGAGGGAAGTTTGCAGGTGCAGTTGGAAACTATAATGCACATCTAGTTGCATACCCTGATGTAAACTGGCCACAAGTGGCAGAAGACTTTGTAACATCTCTTGGCTTAAGCTTCAATCCATATGTCTCTCAGGTTGGTATTATGAAAAATATCTCCTCAGATAGGAAGCTCTAGCATCAAGGATTTGGATGGAAGGGTAGTAAATTGTCTAAGCTTATCTCTCTTTCTAGGCTGCGTGATACTCTCAATATTATCTTAGAATTTTTATTAATAGTTATTATTATTATTAAATATTAAGGTTCTTATTATTATTAATATCGTCAACATTATTATTGTTAATGGTCGTGATAGTTTGCTTTTGTAATTAATAGTAGTTTCTTATAAATCTTTTTTTGGGAAAAAGATTCTTATTAGTCTTAGTTGTAGCCTCTATACATGAAGGCAATTGTTATCTATCACTCCGTCCATTAGATTCTCTCCCATTTCCTATTTTGACAAAAAACATTTAATGAATGTGCTATTATACTCCTACTTTTTATCTACATTATTCATTTTGTTCCATCACATCAATGGAAAACGTGGAAATCTTTCCACTTTTTGAACTTTTCTAATAAGCGTGTAAAGTCAAAATGGGAAAGAAAATTGTGGACCGAGGGAGTATGATTATTATGGAATAAGGAATTAATAATTATACGGATTATTTTTTTTCTTTCTTGGAGCCTATTGGCTCTCTCCTTGGTTTTTGCATGCTTGAGTTTTATTCTTGAAACCCTGTGTCGAAGTTCTTCCTTCTAATATCACGTGCCCATGACAAGGATATGTCTAGGGCTTGCATGGATGTTTGATCTTTTTTGGACTTGGCTATGATGCCCCATTTATAGTGCTTATTTTTATTTATTTGCCTATCTTCTTGTCACTCCACCTTGATTTTTTTTCTTCCTTTTACCATTGCAGTCCATTTATTAACTTATTTTATTTCATTTTATCCGTTACATCTTGTGAAACATTTATATAAGATTGTGTGCTTTGATTCTTGGCTTACTCTCTCTAGTCATTATTGATGGTTGCTCAAATGTTGTGACTATAAGTGAATTTTATGTACTCCAGTATTTGTTAACCTTGTGATATAGTTTCATTGTATGGCTTTTCAATGATGCAGATTGAACACCATGACTATATGGTTCAACTATTTGATTCAATTATCGGATTCAACGACATTTTAATTGATTTTAATCGAGCCATGTGGGGATACATTTCCTTGCCTTACTTCAAACAGGTTAGTCATCCATTCAATTTGATGATGTAGTACCACTTCCTCTGCCCCGTTTTAAACTATACAGTTTTTATTCATTGACAAAACCAACTTTTCTCCACAGACCCCACTTCTGCGAAAAGCTGGGTTTTGTTTGTTTAGTACATCATCGTCATTGGCACCCCAGCCCAATCTCAACTTGTTGGTGTCTGTGACATTAAATTCAGTGTCAAATAGTTGTATAGAATTACTTAACACAACGAATTCATGCACAAAGCAGTGGCAATGTCTTACACCGGATGACCTTCCTGTTACAATCCATAATAATTGAAAATAGTTGTTATATTTAATAGCTCATTTATATAATATTTGAAAATATTATTTTTTGATTAAATAATACTCTGTATTAAATCTCATTGTAAATAGGTTGAATCCAGTCTTGTATTCTACTCATTTCTGTTTGGGAGGGAAGGAGGGAATTGCTCAGGGTATTAGATGTATCCGGTCTTGAACAATGTAAAGAAGTAATAACTATTTCAAGTTTTGAGCAGATAACTAAAGATGGGGAAATTGGATCTTCAACAATGCCTCACAATGTGAATCCCATTGATTTTGAGAACACTGAAGGAAATCTAGGAGTTGCTAATGGAAACCTACGGCATCTTAGCACAAAGCTACCAATTTCTCGGTTGCAGGTACACCATACTTGTCCACGTTTTGTGGTATAATAAAGCCTTTCTGATTTAGTACTTTAATGTGTTGGACACGAACACAAGGGGTCCACAATTTTGTGTGGATAAAGCTTCTCAACTTTCGGAAATATATCTTATGGTTGCGCTCTTTAATCGCTGTTTTGGTTCAGTTAGCCACTCAGGTTTCTCTTTTGTTCCTTCTATAATTGCATTTCTTGAACATTTTGATGTGCAGAGGGATTTGACGGATTCTACTGCTCTGAGAAACATGGGTGTAGGGTTGGGGCATTCACTTATTGCATATCGAAATGCATTACAGGGAATTACAGAGCTTCAGGTAAAAGTACAGCTCCAACTTCCAACATAATTGTGTTTCTCTTTGAGTACTCTATCGGTTGAAAGTTCACTTTATTAATATGGCTTTGCTTAGAGCAGGGAAATGTATATCTTATAATTAGAAATTGAGCTGCTCTTAAAAATAGGATATTATATTAGGATGAAAATAGTGTAAGAAGATACTGAACCAAACCAAACACGACCAGAGTATCCCTCATAGGCATTCACTTCTTGCATGTATCCTATCTTATGATTTTCCATTATCAGTAGTTTTGTATTGATTTTCACCTGTCTAACATTTCGGGTTCCAAATTCCCGACTTGCCCTATCACAGGTCAATGAAGCTGCCTTTACAGAAGATTTGAACCAAACACAGGAGATTCTTGCAGAACCTTTACAAACTGTATGGAACTTGTTCTCTTACTTTAATAAATTTGTCATCGTCGCTGCAATACACACACACTATAGCTTTTCCTTGTGTGGCTGGAGTTTGATAATTTTAGAATTCAAAATCTGTTTTTCCCTATGTTGCTTTAATTAAGCACTCTTCATTTTGTGCTATATTTTTATACCCTCTTATTCTAAAAAAAGTCTTATTTGAATACTTATTTTTATCCCATAAAAGGAATCATTTTCATTATATCATATGTTTCTTCATTTTATGTTCAATTCTTTGAAACGAACTCAATTAAGTTAAAGAAAGTAGCTGTAATTGATGATGTCCAATAGTTGTACTGTTGTACCTTACTACCGAGCATTAGTGAGCATCGGGTTCTCGTTATTGAGATATAATATTTAAAAATTAGACGGGGTTTTTTATGCACACTCCCTTACTGCGTACTACTTCATGCATTTAGTTTTTATTCATTTTGCATTTCCTTAAATTTCAAGACTTTCTTATTAATATATTAATCAAAATTCCCACTAAAATGTTCTGGTCTATCCTTACCCGAGAACTATGAGTAATAATAATAATAATAATAATAATAATAATAATAATAATAATAATAATAATGATAATAATAATAATGTTAATAATAATATTAATAACAACAACAACAACAACAATCACACTATCATCACACTTGTACAGAATGAAGATGCACACCTGTAGTGTATAATTTGGGATACAATTTTTCGTGTACAAGTAGCTTATTTCATGAAAGAATAATATTGGGCTGTTTAATTCACATAAGGCCTATTAAGATATGGGGCACAAACAAAATTTCTTTCCGGCCTCCATCCTTTTCGATATCCAGTCCGTGCCTCAATTTCCTTCTTACCTTCAAATTTTTCGAAGCAAACGGGAATGGAGTTTGGAACTTGTCTTAAGTCTAACTTCAACCGAACATTGTTTTTCCTTCGCCAACCGATTACTCGCCAACACTCGCTACCACCTCCGTGTTTATCTCGTACTACCCCTGCGTCTATGCGCTGCAGGGCAAGTGCTGAAGTGCATAGAAAAAACAACTCATTTGGAACTAGGGATGACAATTCACCCCGAATCCGATCTTAACCGACCCGACCGACCACTAAAATATCTGAACCCGAAGCCTGAATAAAATCATCCGAACCCGACCTGAATTTTTTACCCAAACCCGACATTGGGTCGGGTCAGGTGTGGGTTTATTATTTTACCCGACCCGACCCGACTCGACCAAAACCCAAATATTTTATAACCTAAAAGCCTATCTATGGATACAATGAGCACTCTATATAATCTGTTGACAAGAAGCTACTATACCAAGTATGCCTTTTATAATTTTTTTCTTATAATTCCTTAATAAAAAAATAAGATGCAAACAAAAAAAAGACACAAAAATTTAGATTTATTCTTTTTAAATCTCTTGGGGTACATCGAATAGATTATTGGTTAAATAATGGATTCGGGTTCAGGTTTGGGTTTTCGGGTCTAAATGTTGGATTTTGGTTGGGTCGGGTTTTTAGTTTAAAAGTCGGGTTTCAGGTTGGGTTTGGGTCTCAGTTTTAAAGTCGGGTTGGGTTTGAGTATATTACTATCCGACCCGACCCCGACCCGTTGCCATGCCTATTTGGAACAATCGAAAAGCTAGCCTCTATTTATTATAGAGACTATATTCTTTGCCTGTTTTGAGTTATAATTCGAACTTAAATTTTAAGAAATAAGCCTTGCGTCCCGGAATAAGGACCTTTGAACTGAAATGGAAAACGTATTAAGAAAGTTGAAATTGCGCTGTTGAGAAATACTCCCTTGGTCCCAATAAAAAGTTCATAGTTTGACTTGACACAGAGTTTAAGAAAAGTCTAAGTAAATTTTTGTGGTTGATAGTAAAGAGAGCAGAGAAAGATTGCGAGCCACAAAAAATTCCAAAAGTGGAAAGAAGAATCTTTTGTTAGGTCCAGAAAAAGAAATGAGGAGTCTTATTTTGGGCCAGACAGAGTAATAAGTACCACGCATTTTATTCTTTTGAAGGAATGTAGAAATTTATTTTGTTATAAACCAAAGAGAAAAGGTAAAACATTTTCCCGCAACAGCGGGAGCATAAGATTGATGAGTGGAGCCATTTTACTTATTCTTTCAAGTGTTGCTCTACCACTTGAACATTTCTGCATATCATAGAACATGATGAATGTGACTTGCACTCTTGCAGTTGAAATGTTGATCTTAAAAAGGCTCATAAATAGGAATGCTAACATTGTGTTCCGTTTGCTGAGACTAGCCATCATCAGCATTTANATGTAGAAATTTATTTTGTTATAAACCAAAGAGAAAAGGTAAAACATTTTCCCGCAACAGCGGGAGCATAAGATTGATGAGTGGAGCCATTTTACTTATTCTTTCAAGTGTTGCTCTACCACTTGAACATTTCTGCATATCATAGAACATGATGAATGTGACTTGCACTCTTGCAGTTGAAATGTTGATCTTAAAAAGGCTCATAAATAGGAATGCTAACATTGTGTTCCGTTTGCTGAGACTAGCCATCATCAGCATTTAATTTAAGTTGGTTGAAAAAAGTGTTCATTTTTATCCAGGTCAAAACAATGTCTGCGAATAACTCTTGTGATTTGGTACTATCAAGTTTAACAGCTGTATGCCCGTTGGATGGCCGCTACTGGGATAAATTTAAGGTCCTCGCTCCGTTCATGAGCGAGTATGGGCTCATTCGCTTTCGAGTTTTAGTTGAGGTGTTCCACTTTCTTTGAACTGCTTTTCCATGTTATGTTTCATGTTTTTATTTGGATATAGATGTATATGTAATAATGATATCATAGTGGTGGCTCTTTGTTTTTCTTGATGGTCTTAATATGTGATTGCATTATGATTTATGTTGTTTATCAAGTAAACAAACAACAACAACAACAACAAAGCCTTATCACATTAAATGGGGTCCGCAACATGGATCAAACGATGTTATTGCGTCCTATCATGTATCATATCTGCTCTGAGTATTCAGAAATAATTTTTGGTGACTACTTTTTGTTTAGATTAATCTACTGAAAATCTATATAAAATAATTAAAAAAATTGTGGGGTATTATATTTAAATGTATTAGCAGTTGGATACCAAAATAAAAAAATTGGTTACCTGTCACCTTTCAACAAAACTTTCCACCGTGGTTCAATTTTTAGTTTAAACTTAAATTTACCTTCATTTCATCAAGTCTATGCAGAAAAAACTGTGAAGTTTGAAGTGACTTTTGTCTTCTCTATAGTCTATAAGTGAAACACATATGTTGCTTTTTTTTCCAGATTGAGTGGTTGTTAAATTAAAGCTTTCAGAAGTTCCAGAAATCCCCGAAATTCCTGATTTCTCTCCGGGAGCGAAGTCGTTCCTACATGGCTTGATTGATGGATTTAGCTTGGATGATGCCATGGAAGTGAAGGAAATTGAGAGAGTGACTAACAATGATGTTAAAGCAGTGGAGTACTTCCTGAAACAAAGATGCCAATCACATGACGAAATTTCAAAGGTATATTAAGTTGTAGACATGCTTTTATGTGTGCACGTACAAACACTGTTTTAGTAAAACAATGTTTTGTGACCCTGAAATATAAATGAACTAAACGAGGAATACCATTTTGATACAATTCTGTCATACAAAGATCTATTTATCTTCACATATATGACACAAAAACTTTGTAGCTTTGGAGTAAACTTGGAGAAAAAGGATTTGTATAATTTTGTATATATTTCATTTTCATGTGACCTGAAATTTGGTTTTATTTGTATCGTATTTTTGTCTAGGTGCTTGAGTTTTCCCATTTTGAATGCACTTCTGAAGACATCAACAACCTAGCACATGCATTAACGCTAAAAGAAGCTATTAGCAGTGTTATATTGCGAGTCATGGATGAGCTGATTACAGCAATCACTAGCATTGCCACAAAGACTGCTTATGTCCCAATGCTTTCCCACACCCATGGGCAGGTAAATACTTGTGTGCCCATCTTTTTCATAGTTCTGAAATCTCGCTGATTTGTCCAATTTATAATCCTAAGCATTGTTAAGATATACAGTGTTAACAAATCTTGAAAGCAGCTCTAATCTAGTATGTTGTAGCCAGCTACACCTACAACGCTGGGCAAGGAAATGGCCAATTTTTCATATCGGTTATATACAGCAAGGCAGAAGATTTCACAAATTGCACAAATTGAGGTAATATGAAGCATTTTAGATCTGTATTTTCAAATTTCAGAGTTGTTTTTTCAATAAGAAGCACTTTACCAACAGATTTTTTTTAAAGAAAATAATAAAACTGAATCGTTGGAAAGCCGCCGGTCCCATGTCCGGTTACTTCACCCAAGTGCGGCAGATGAGGTGATGAGAAGGGAGGGGTACACACAGGCTGTGAATAGAAAGTGGGGAGGGGCATTATTGGAAAGTCAATGCAAATCTTAACTTTTCTTAACATTCATGCCCGGTCAAAGCGGGAGGAAAATAAATGTATGGAGGGAGTATTATTACGGTTCTTATTATTATTAAATATTATTAAGATTATTATTGTTATTATTATTAATGGTAGCGATAGTTTACTTTTATGTTTAACAGTAGTTTCTTATTAGTCTTAGTTGTCGCCTCTATACCCAAAGGCAATTGTTCTCTATTACTCCGTCCATTAATTTCTTTCTCATTTCCTATTTTGTCCAAAAACGTTTAATGAATGTGCTATTATACCCCTACTTTTTATCAGCATTATTCGCTTTGTTCCATCACATAAAGGGCAAACATCAAAAGTCTTTTCACTTTTTAAACTTTTCTTAATAAGCATGTAAAGTCAAAATAGGAAAGAAAATTGTGGATGGAGGGAGTATGAATAAGTATGATAATTATGGAATAAGGAATTAAAAATTATACGGAGTGTCTTTTTCTTTCTTGGAGCCGATCGGCTCTCTCTTTGGTTTTTGCATGCTTGAGTTTCATTCTTGAAACCCTGGGTCGAAGTTCTTCCTTCTAATATCACGTGCCCATAACAAGGAATTATTAGCGCCAAACATATCACTGCATGTGTTTTGTATGTCAAGGGCTTGCATGGATGTTTGATCTCTTGTTTTTATTTATTTGCCTATCTTCTTGTCACGCCACTTTGATTTTTTTCTTCCTTTTACCATTGCAGTCCATTTATTAACTTATTTTATTTCATTTTATCCGTTACATCTTTTGAAACATTTATATCAGATTGTGTGCTTGATCCTTGGCTTACTCTCTCTAGTCATTATTGATGGTTGCTGAAATGATGTGACTATACGTGAATTTTATGTACTCCTGTATTTGTTAACCTTGTGATATAGTTTCATTGTATGACTTTTCAATGATGCAGATCAAATCCCATGACGATATGGCCAAACTGTCTAAATCAATTATCCGATTCAACACCATTTTAATTGGTTTTAATCAAGACATTTGGAGATACATTTCCAAGCGATACTTCAAACAGGTTTGTCAGCCATTCAATTTGAGGATGTAGTATGACTTCCTCTATCACGTTTTAAACTATACAGATTTTATCCATTGACAAAACCAACTTTTCTTCACAGACCCCACTTCTGCGAAAACTGGGTTTTGTTTGTTTAGTACATCATCATCATTGGCACCCAGCCCAATCTCATCTAGTTGGTGTCTGTAACATGAAATTCATTGTCAAATAGCTGTATAGAATTACTTAACACAATGAGTTCATGCACAAAGCAGTGGGAATTTCTTGCATGGATGACCTTCCTGTTGCAATTCATAAAAATTGAAAACAGTTGTTTTATTTAATAGCTCATAAATATAATATTTGAAAATATTATTTTTTAATTAAATAATACTCTGTATTCATATCTCATCGTGAATAGCTTGAATACAGTCTTGTATTGTACTCGTTTCTTTTTGGGAGGGAGAGACGGAATTGCTGAGAGTATTAAATGCATTTGATCTTGAACAATGTAAAGAAGTAATAACAATTTCAAGTTTTGAGCAGATAACTAAACCTGGTGAAATTGGATCTTCAACAATGCCTCACAAGGTGAATCCCATTGATTTTGAGAACAGCGAAGGAAATCTAGGAGTTGCTAATGGAAGTCTATCATATTTTAGCGCAAAGCTACCTACTCCTCCGTGGCAGGTACACTATACTTGTCCACTTTTTGTGGTATAATAAAGCTTTTCTGATTTAGTACATAAAATGGGTCCACAGATTTTTGTGTGGATAAATCTTCTCAACTCTCAGAAATATATCTTGTGGTTGCGCTCTTTAATTGCTGCTTTGGTTCAGTTAGCCACTCAGGTTTCTCTTTTGTTCCTTTCATAATTGCACTTCCTGAACATTTTGATGTGCAGAGGGATTTGACGGATTCAACTGCTCTGAGAAACATGGGAGTAGGGTTGGGGCATTCACTTATTGCATATCAAAATGCATTACAGGGAATTACAAAGCTTCAGGTAAAAATACGGATCCAATTTCCAACATAATTGTGTTTCTCTTTGAGCACTCTGTCGGTTGAAAGTTCACTTAATTCATGCTCAATGACTTTGCTTAGAGCAGGGAAATGTATATCTTATAATTAGAAATTGCGCTGCTCTTAAAAATAAGATATTATTTTAGGATGAAAATAGTGTAAGAAGGTACTGAACCAAACCAATCACGCCCAGTCCATCCCTCTTGGGCATTCACTTCTCGCATGTATCCCATCTTATGATTTTCCATTATCAGTAGTTTGTTTTATTGATTTTCACCTGTCTAACATTTCGGTTTCCAAATTCCCGAATTGCCTTATCACAGGTCAATGAAGCTGCCTTGACAGAAGACTTGAACCGATCATGGGAGATCCTTGCAGAAGCTATACAAACTGTATGGAACTTGTTCTCTTACTTTAATAAATTTGTCATAGTGCTCTGCAATACACACACACTATAGCTTTTCCGTTTGTGGCTGGAGTTTGATTATTTTAGAATTCAAAATCTGTTTTTTTCCCTATGTTGCTTTAATTAAGCACTCTTCATTTTGTGCTATATTCTTATACTCTTAAAAAAAAGTCTTATTTGAATACTTATTTTATCCCATAAAAGGGATCATTTTCATTATACCATATGTTTCTTCATTTTATGTTCAATTCTTTGAAACGAACTCAATTAAGTTAAAGAAAGTAGCTGTAATTGATGATTTCCAATAGTTTTGATTCATTTTGCATTTCCTTACATTTCAAGACTTTCTTTTCAATATATTAATCGAATCCCCCATTGAAAGGTTCTGATCTATCCTTACATTTTGCTTGCCACAGGTGATGCGAAGAGATGGCGTCCCCGAGCCTTATGAAAAATTGAAAGAGCTAACCCGGGGGAGAACAGTGACAAAAGAAAGCATTAGAGAGTTCATTGAAGGTTTGGAATTACCACCCAATGCAAAGACATCTCTCTTGAACTTAGCACCACATACATATATCGGCGCTGCTGCTGAGCTGGCCAAGAACATCAAGAGCGTTACTAAAAATGTTGGCAACAACATCAAAAGTAGAGAGGCTGTTTCTGAAGAGACTCTGGCTCAGTGTCAAAAGTTGCATTGATTGACTAACTGCTACTTCTTAACATTCATTCTGTTCGTGTTTTATTATGTTATGTGTCATCGATGACATTTCCAACTACTTTTTGGATTCTTTCCATCTTCGAGCATGCAACTTTATTTATCCAATTCAATAGAGTAGTCTTAAAATTGTGTGTAAATATTTTTAAAATACGTAAGCCGTACAATTTAAATGTAGCAATATTTAGATCTTGATGATATTACTTACGAAGTGTATATTTTATTTCATGATAAATTTGAATACCATTAGACCTGATCAAAGTGGGTCTAGGGTAGAGTTTTGGGTCGGATTGGATGCTATATTATGAAAGTTTCTTAGACATGTGTTTGGATTGGTTTTTACAACGAGCCTAATAATTGAAACCCTGGCTTGGCCCTCTTGAATACCGTTGTTTTTGGGTCGGCCTTGCTAACATTTGAAACAATTTTAATTGTATTGGGCATTAAAAAAGGAATTTTAAAACAAATCGAAACAATATGTGACCTTAGTATTAAAAATTAGGAATTTGCTTGAAACTAGTATAGACTTCTAGAAATGCAAAGTGCTTTAGGCATTTGTACATTCTTCGAAAAATACTTTGTACCAATTAAGTTGCATATAAACTATTCAAAGGATTAAATTTTATTTATTTTCTTTTCATATTTTTGTTACTCTTTTGATAAAATAATATAGTTTTGTCACCACATATTTCGTAAAGGTTTTGATGTAGTTTTTAATATGTACTCCGTACATTTTATTTTTTAATTCTCATATTCTCAAATAAGTTATATTGAAAATAATTTTAGTCAAATGTTATAAATCGAAACATGCAATTTAAAATAAGATAGAGGAAGACAGGGAGTACAAAACAAGTACTTGCAACAATAGCGATTTGCAAAAAAGAATTTGCAATGTTTACTTTCCAACAATGAAACCCATAACAATTTTGGCAACTAAAGAAATAATAGGATTTTAGGCATATGGTTTGGACCGGGATATCCGTGGGCTTGCTTATATTGCATGTACCCTGCCTTCAATACCTGCGGGCCCGTGCAATGACGGGCCGGGCCGGCCCAGATAGAAAAAAATAAGCCTCAACGCTCATTTTTTCTTTTTGTGACTTTTTGAACTCACATTACAAGAGAACGAAGTTGAACATAGGGAGAGTTAGAGAGTGCTCACTAGGGAAATACAAAGAAAGAAGATGTAAAAAGCATGCAAGAAGGGTGGAAAGAGTTAAAATATGAAAAGTCCCAAAAAAGTAATAATGTGGAAGAACGACCAAATTAGGTGTAAAAGAAATGTCATATACTTAAAATAGTAGTTGAAACTTAAATTTCCTTAAATAGGAATAATTAAACACTTAAACTCCCCTCCTTGCACAAAGAACCTCCCTAGAATGATCACAGCACCTCCATACGCTCACATGAAGATAATGTGTGTAATCTCTATGGATAACAAGATGATGTAGCAAGTTTGTCCATATCTTATTGTTTCCAACAAGATCCCAGCACCAAGGCTTCCAATCACATCTCTTTTAATTCAAAAATAATTTTTTGAATTATTTGTGAGTGATTGTGAATTATGGAGTGGAAAAGTGAGTCCCAAAATATTTTGTGTGTCAAAAGATTTCAAAAAATATTTGTGTAAAATATTTTTGCTTTCCAAAAATATTTTCTAAGTTCAAAATAATCATTTTGAAAAATGTTTAAAGGATTTTTCAACTGACTCCAAAACTAAATATACTTTTTAATGTATAGCCCTCAAAAAAATTGTTTGAGTAGAAAGATATTTTGTCATCCTTACAAAATTTTCTATACACAAAATAAATAAAAGTCTTTAAAAAAACTTCTCTGTTCTTCAAAATCTTACATAGGGATTTAAGTTTGTCGTCGTGGAATTCTTGATGTGCCTCTTTGCTTTCTTGAACCGAAAAATAAATTTTCGTTTTGCGTTGCGTTTGCCATTTTTCAAAAACCTAAAAATAATTTCAAGAAAATATCTAAAGGGGTTTGAACTCATGTCCATCAATCATATATATGTTGTCCCGTACGCCATCTGACGAAGCGCAACAGTGCACTTATGGACACTACTAAACCCGTGTCGGCCTCTCGCATCAAAGCATTGGGTGAACCAAGGCACCTCGTGTTTAACATCGGCGAGTATGCGTGATAAGAGAGGAGGACTCATCCAAAAACGATCACTAAAATCTTCATGTGTATAAACACACGGAGTATTGAAGTAATCGTTGAGAAGTGAAGCGTGGGCAGCCGCTCGATCTCGGTTTAAACGTTGTCGTCAGGTCCGGCACCGGGAGAATTTGCCTTCTTGTATTTCGCCTTGTTGCCACCATTGATAACAACTCGTGACAAAAAATGAGAGCTCTTTTTTCATCATCGGATGAAGATGATCCCATTTTTAAAATATATTTTATAAATAATTATAATAAATAGAAACATATTTGAAAAGAATATTTGATAGAATTGTATAGAGAAGATAGTGAGAGATAGGTTTGTTTTTATTGAATTTATATGTTTTTTTAATTTATTTTTTTTGTGATTAATGCCTCTTTTAGCCGTTTTTATCCGTTGGGGGAAGAGGGGAGACACATTAAACATTTGACGCGTTGGGGATGACGCCCCATAACACCGCCAAGGGGCGGTGTTTAACGCCTAGAATCGTTAATATTTATTTATTTTTAAATACAAACTTGTGTGATTTTGTGTGTATATTTGTGTGTTTAGTGGGATAATAAATCAATGGATGATTACCTCTAATAAATGTTGGGCATGGAGTTTTTTGATTGGCTTGGTCTTGAATATGATATACTCCTACTTCTTATTCCGGCCTCCTTTGATCTTCTTTAGGAGCTTTACCAACTTTGACCGATTTTATTTTCAATTTAAATTTACAAAACAAGTGATAAGATTATAATATTATATATGAAATGGGTAATAAATTAAGGAAACAAAATGAGTTAAGTTTGACATTATGAATTGAGTCTCGAGGGATCTAGGGAGGTGTGAGGAATACTATATTTTTGTTTTTTCAATTGTAAACTAGATCATTGACCTGATCAACTGATTGATTTTGACTTAGTTGTTTGTTTGATTTTATGACTAGTCTTGAAGACATTGTAGTAGACTAGCGATGGAGTGAAAGAAAAAAAGATTTATAAAAAGAGGTGTGCTAGGAGTATGTTAAATCTGTATTCAATTTGTACAACAAATATATTAGAGATGATTTTTTTTTAGCCCGGAATGTCGAGCAAGAGAGGATCGAGTCTCACCAGCATCAGTACTGAGAAAAAAAATTGAGAATAGATTTGAGATTAGCTAAAAAAAGAGGGAACCATAGAAAAAGAGGAAGGGAAGGGAAAAGTCAACCCTTATCCGTCCGGCTAGCTCCCTCACTACAGCGGTCCATGATGGCCTCCACTGGTCCGTTCCAGCTTCATTGGTCCATCAAATGGACGGTCCTGGCCTCAAGTGGACCATTCCAACTTCTAGGAACCATCCAAGGGACAAAGCTAGCCTCAAGAGGTCCATTCTAGCTTCATAAGTTCCTCAAAGGGACGGTCTTGACCTGAAGTGGGCTATTCCCAATTCTAGGATCCATCCAAGGGACGGTGCTAGCCTCAAGAGGTCTATTCCAACTTCATTGGTCCCTCAAATGGACATGGTGCCGGCCTTAAGTGGAATATTCCAACTTCTAGGATCCATCCAAGGGACGACTCTAGCCTCAAGTGGTCCATTCCAGCTTCATTGGTCCCTCAAATGGACGACGCCAGCCTCAAGTGGACCGTTCCAATTTCTAGAATCCAAAGAGGCACACATTCCCGAGAAAGTCCTCTTCCAAGAGGCCCAAATCTTCGAGAAAAGTCCTCTTCCAAGAGGCACTAAGTCCTGAGAAAGCCCACTTGCAAGAGGCACAAATCCCTGAAAAAAGTCATCTTTCAAGAGGCACCAAATCACGAGAAAGCCATCTTCTAAGAAGCCCAAAAAGAAAGAAAAGCCCTCTTCTAGGAGGCACAAATCCCTGAGAAAAGTCTTCTTTCGAGAGGCACCCAGTTGAATCCTTACCCACGAGGTAACGAGACCCTCCAAAAAAGGAAGTCCTCTTCCCGAGCACCATGGAAAGTTCTATCTCATGAGGCAACCCACCGAGTCATATAGTTTCTGAATCTGTCTCGTTCCCCGTGACAGACTCAAAACTGGTGCATGTGATGGATTAGAAATTTTACCTAATCCAATATTATTTGAATAGTATAGATAAGCCCAATTCAGTCCGGCCCAAGATATCAATCAGATGAATTATTCAATACGAAGTCAGAGATATATGGATAGAAGAATTTATTTGAAGTGATATATAAATATTGAGTAGGACCCATGATAAGCACTCCCACATGAGACCCATGTGAGTATCACATGGAGGAGGGCCTGATGTGATATGGTAACTTCTCTTTAAGATGGGAGGTCATTCTCAAGAGAGAGAGGGAGACCATTCTTTTCTTACGAGATCCTAGGGAAGGGCCAATTCCTACAAGTTCATATTACTTTTCTTCATTCTTCTTTTTCTTTAAGTTTGGAGCTCAATTAATGGCTCCAAACTCCCCCCAGGATTAATAAAAGTCTCCCCTTGACATGGCATCGCCTAAAAAGGCTCGTAGTTTTTTTCCCATTTTTGGTTTTCACAAATAAATATTTTCTTTCCGCTTTATTAATTTATTTATTTTCTGGATTTCGCTATTCGGTGTGTGCCGACCCGGTACCGAGTGCGTTGGGTCGACTCCCCGAAAATGCGGCTTCCATCACTAACATTTTATATAAGTGTGATGCGTTATAATGATACACAATGTCATTGCAAATTTTTTTAATTAAACTAACTTTTTTTTGTGTACATTTGGCATGCTTGTATCTCTTTGGAACAAGATAATACGGAGGATTTCTGTTTTCGAATGGTGAGATTTACAGACAACGGGAGTAGCCATTTTTCTGCAGGAAACCTCACATATTCCGTGGCGCCTCAGAAGTCAGACCACCCCCTTAGAGTGCTCCAGCCTCCATTACTTGCTACATGATCAAACGGCTGCTGCTCTCTTCCTCCCCTTCCCGCCTAATTCTTTCTTACCAGGCCAACAACTTCCGCAATTCTGACTTCATCTCCTTTTCCTCGCCTTTGTCCCTCGGCCTCCGGCGGCCGATCGGATATTCCAGAGTCTTCGCCATGGCCGACGACCGCCACTCTCCCGGAAAGGCGCCGTCCGGTTCCCGCAACCACACCAACCGCCTCTCTGCCGAGCACAGTCCTTACCTGCTTCAGCACGCCCACAATCCTGTAAGTAGTAAAAGTGTAGTCTTGACGGACTTATTCCCCCCTTTTTCCGATGGGTTAGTGGTAATTCGAAATCATGCCTGGAAATTTCGTGCCCACATCTAGTCTGATTAAGAAAACTGTGTGTTCCTGGTCCTGTCTGTATATAGGTCGATTGGTATCCATGGGGCGAGGAGGCATTTTTTGAAGCTCGTAAAAGAGATGTTCCCATCTTTCTATCTAGTACGTCCTACCTATTCTCTCTCTATTTTTTCTTCTTTTTAAGTGGATTGTTCTAATCTTGTTCTTTTAAGCAGATATGTTTCACAAATCTCACCCCATTTGTGAGGTTTTACTAGGGTTTTGTTGGTGTAGTTACTGTAAATAATAATGGCAGAGAGCTCACAAATTAACCTACTTTTCTTTTTTGGTTTTTTGGGGATCGGTTTGTTCTTGGCGTGGTCTTACATTTGAAGTTGGGTACAGCACATGCCATTGGTAATAACTGCCCAGTGATTTTCCTTTTCAATTAGCGAGCGGCGTTTTGTAGTGTGTATCAAGGCACTGATTTGGGGTGGGGTGGGGGTGGGGGGTTACCTTTCTTTCTTTTGATAAAGGTGTCATGTAATGGAGGTGGAGTCTTTTGAGGATGAAGAGGTTGCGAGATTGCTTAATGACTCTTTTATAAGTATCAAGGTGAACATTTAGATTGCTGAAAAGAAGCTTTTCCCGCCTTCCCTAATATGTTTATGTTTGTGCTTAACAAGCCTTCTTGACAGGTGGACCGAGAAGAAAGACCGGATGTAGATAAGGTATGGACTTATCTGTTGTCGTCTTTTACTACATATTGAAATTGCGTGGTGACTTGATCTACCTCTCAATAATATCTTAGAATGATTAGGGATTGGACACATGTTTGTAGGACTTCATAGTATCAGTGTATTCACCTTATTACAGTATTAGTTTGTACACTAAAGAAGTATGTTGAGGAACAGCCCCCAACCACTGTTTTTACTCAGGTCTTCCGATTTATGATACATTTATAATAACACATACTGTACTTCAGCTGCTTTACTTTGTGATATTTTTTTATATGACCTTTGTAGTGCTTTGAGAAACTTATTTTCCATCCCAAGTTGGCCTGGCATGATCTCTTACACAAGTTAAAATTACATTGAGTTTCCTAAATTGCCCTCCTACACTATTCACCACTAAAGGCTAAAGCCTGAATGTTGTTGCCTTCTCTGCAACTTCTGTAGTGCCGCCACTGGTAGCCGGAATTGCAAAATTGCTGCTGGTCTCTGCAAAGTTACTGCAACTGCTGAACATACCCACCCCAAACATGTTTTGTTGTCTTTGCAAAGAATGTTAGAGAAAACTATTCAGTCGTGTTTTTTAATAAACATGTGTATTTTTTATCAAAGAAGAAATTTATTAGAACTATTAGGTCTATTACTATAGGACCTATTGGGAAGAAAATTGGACAGAGGAGTCTTGGAGTACTTAATTACCTTATGATTGGTAATATCCCTCTTGAGTTTTCATACATCCTCGCTTGCTCCCTGCTACTAAAACTATCAATTTATGAACTTTCAAATATTTTTTGGCATTGCCAGCAGCTCAAAAAAAAGTAAAATTGTTAGTCCATAATTTAGCTAAATGTTGAGTAAAATCAAAGGAAAAGATAATTTACCTGTTGTGCCATTATGGTAGGAAGATCGACTATCGGCTGCCATAATTAGCTTCACATGATTATCTTCTGAGTTCATGTACACAAATCAAAAACAGATGTGCCAATGTATTGTAATATAAGTGTGTTATTTAAGTTTTAGGATCATATAGTGTATGTCTACATTTTGATGAAATGTTGTACCAATTATATGTACATTAAGGCCATGTTCTCTTCAACTTATTCTTATTATTTATAACTTTTTCTTATTGGAATCAGTTCAGATTAGATCAAACCAGATTAGATGAGATCAGAAACAAGTTTAAATATAACTATATTCAGATCAGAACTTATTCCAATTATACCAGAACCATTCAGATTCAGGTGAAGAGAAAATGGCCTAAGTGTCGTGTTTATATTATATGATGTATGAACGTCTACGTCTAGGAAGAAAATCAGTTTCAATCATTCTTCTATGAAGTGTAGATCAATTCTAATCACATAAGATGTAGTGTGTATACTTTTTAGTTTATGCACTTTTAATAATTCTTCATAGAAGTGTAGTACAAGTTCTTATACCATCAATTATAGTCTTTGGTAGTTGGTACAGACACTACAGTTGATGTTTTAAGAATTTGTAATACACTTCTTTGAAGAGTGATTTAAATTGATTGTGTTCCTTTAAATGCATAAACCATAAAGTATAGACATTAAATCTTATGTGATTAGAACAGATACTGCATTTTTTTGAAGTATGGTTGAAACTAATTTTACTATTTTATCTGCATAAACAGTAAAGTGCATACCCGACACTTAATCATAGTTAGTAAGGCGTCGCCTAGGCGTCGCCTAGGCGATAAGGCGTAAAGTTTTGCTCGCCTTGGTTGCTCGCCTCGCCCAGAAGACCCTAAGGCGGTCAGGCGCTCGCCTAGGCGTCGCCATACCTCGCCTTATGTCGCCTTTCTCGCCTTGACGCCTTGGGTCACTTCAAATTTATGAAAAGCCCAAATTTTTTTTAGTGCAGCCTATTTTTTTAGTGCAGCCCATCATTTTAGTGTAGCCCATTTTCTTTTGGTGCAGCCCAAGTATTTTGCAAGTCTATTTTAAAGAGTTTAAGAAGATTTAACTTAAATTATCTCTAGGCTCGATCAAGAGCCTCTTCCCATTCCAGATCTGCCGACTCACTTTCTTCTAAATGTTTGTGAACCCTTCTTTCTTTTTCAGATTATGTGTGGACTTTTGTTTCATATGTTGTGCCTTATTATTTATAATATTGTGGTATGTTGTGCCATATGTGTGTGTGTGTGTGTGTATATATGTATGTATGTATGTATGTATGTGTGTGTGTATATATGTATATATATATGTATATGTATATATATATATAGGTCGCCTAGGCGTCGCCTAGGCGTCCGCCTAGTCGTCTAGGCAGTATGAAGGTATATTGCCGCCTCGCCTCGCCTTACCGCCTTACAAACTATGCACTTAATGTGATTAGAATTGGTACTACACTTTTTTAAAGTGCAAAACTACATAGTATGATCTTAAAACTTAAATAATACGCTCTTATAATGTTAATTTTATAATTATATTTATGGTCATTGTTGTGTGTGCTATATTAATATCATCGACATCTACTTCATAGGCACGTGGCACAATTGTGTTTGGCTTATGAATATGGACCCAACAGATAATCATGTTAAGTTGATTGCGTTAGCCGATAATCGATCTTCTTATTGGGATGGATAATAGGTAAATTATCTTTTCCTTTCTTTCAATTTAAAATTGGTTAGTTTCTTGACTAACAATTATTTACTCTCTTTCACTACTGGCAATGTCAAAGAGTATTCGAAAGTTCATGAATTGGTAGTCTTACTAGTGGGGATCAAGCAAAAATGCATAAAAACTTTGAGGATATTACCAATGATAAGGTAATTAAGGGCTTGTTCTCTTCACCTCATCCAAAAGATTCTGATCTAACTGGAATAAGTTCTTTGATATAAAATACACATGTTTATTAAATAAAACATGGCTGAATAGTTTTCTCTGCTCTGCAAACTTTCTTAGAGTCCTGGAATACCAATTCATAGGTGATCCCTTAGAATAGCAATGACATTTCATGAGATCATGCAAATATGTGAATAATTTTCTTCTCCTTTCAATAGAACTGAATATCTTTTCAGATGGCCCCTACACAATTTGACTGCTGAAGATATTTACTTTGCCTTGTTCTTTAACGTTACTGACTGCTCTAAAGTGCTTCTCCAGGTGTACATGACATATGTACAAGCAATGTATGGTGGGGGTGGTTGGCCCCTAAGTGTCTTTCTTTCTCCCGATCTAAAGCCTTTAATGGGTGGGACTTACTTTCCTCCAGATGATAAATATGGCAGACCTGGCTTTAAAACTATACTTAGGTAATACCTTTGGGCTTTGTCAGATACTTCTTGATTGGGTCCGATGTGTTTCCCGAACGAGTTTAAGACCAATGGAAGTATCTTTTTTTCCAGGAAGGTCAAAGAAGCTTGGGACACAAAAAGAGATGTGCTAATCCAAAGTGGGGCATTTGCTATAGAGCAACTTTCAGAAGCATTATCTGCTAATGCAAGATCAGAGAAGCTACCACAAGGGCTACTAGAAAAGGCATTGCAAAAATGTGCTGAGCAGGTATTTTATTGAACTTGTGATGCATGACTTTATAAGATTTCAATCATAGTTTATGATGTTTGCAGGTCTGTTTCTATTGACGACTTTTGTTTTGATTTTCTCTTAGCTTTCTGAAAGCTTCGATTCGGAGTATGGTGGATTTGGGTCTGCACCAAAATTCCCCAGACCGGTTGAAATCCAGCTAATGCTTTACCGTTCAAAGAGGTTGAGGGAGAATGGTATGTCAGGTGAAGCAAGGGAAGATCTAAGTATGGTGGTGATGACCTTACAGGGCATTGCAAGGGGTGGTATTCATGATCACATCGGAGGCGGTTTTCACAGATACAGTGTGGATGAATGTTGGCATGGTTAGTTTGCCCCATTAACTATGTACCTCATTGCCCAGTGTTCAGTATCTGGTTAATACTCTGTCTCTGTGCAGTACCACACTTTGAGAAAATGTTGTATGACCAAGGGCAACTTGCCAATGTTTACTTGGATGCTTTTTCTATCACGAAAGATGCTGTCTACTCAAATATGTCTCGAGATATTCTTGATTATCTGAGAAGAGAGATGATTGGCCCTAATGGAGAAATATTTTCGGCGGAGGATGCTGATAGTGCAGAATATGAAAGTGCATTAAGAAAAAAGGAGGGTGCTTTCTATATTTGGACAAGTCGAGAGGTAAGCTATCTGGTCACTTGATTCAATTTCAATCAAACCGAGTCAGGTTCTAACTAGTATTATCTTGTGTTACTTTATTTTGTATATCTGCAGCTCTTTTTTACTCGTGGTTTACTTCTTCGTATTAGTTTGATTACTTTGACCATAAGATTTCTAGATGTTATGTTTTCAAATTTCTATCACATTTGATAGTATCATTTTGTCTTTATCTGAATCACCATTATGTGTTAAATATTATTTTAAAAAAAAAGTGTTAAGTATTTTGTATGCCCAGCACCTTGAAGCCCGATTGCTTTCACAGTTCTTTTAATTAATGTTTCTTCAAATTTCTCTTCATTCTAGCAGATTGAAGAGCTTCTTGGAGAGCATGCTCCTCTTTTTAAAGAGCATTACTACATTAAAGCATCAGGAAACTGTGACCTCTCAAGGAGGAGTGATCCCCATAATGAGTTCAGGGATAAGAATGTGCTTATAGAGAGACACAGTGTTTCTGAAATGGCAGCAAAGTTTGATATGACTGTAGATGAGTATCTGAAGATCTTGGGAAAATGTCGGAAGAAACTTTTTGATAAGAGAGCAAAACGGCCAAGGCCATGTTTGGATGATAAGGTGCCAATCATTTCTAATTGGGTGGACCTTGAGTATATAGAGTTAATTCATATGCTTCTTTTCCCTTGTCAGATAGATTTGGATTGACATATTGAGTCTCTCTCTCTCCCTCCCCCCTCTCTCCTGCTCTCTCTCCTCTCTCTCTCTCTCTCTCTCTCTCTCTCTCTCTATTGTAGGTCATTGTTTCTTGGAATGGACTTGCAATTTCATCATTTGCTAGAGCATCTCAAATCCTGAAGAGTGAGCCAGAAGGAACAAAGTTTTACTTTCCTGTAGTTGGTAGTCATGTAAGATGTTCCCATTTTCTCTACTCCTAGAATGCAATGACTGAGTATGTCTAGATGATTCATAGAATAAATGGTATACATAATTTGTGTGAACTTAATGACATGGTTTAGTTCACTTTGAGGAGAGGACCAGTCCCATTGCCTGTTGCTATTTAATGATTCTATGTACAATCATTTCAAGCTAATTTCTTGCTGCATTTTATATTATGTTTAAGCTCGACTTATATTCAGCAGATGCTTATTTTTTCTCCTTTCTGGATCTGTAGCCTAGGGAATACATGGATGTTGCAGAAAAGGCGGCTTCATTTATCAGAAAGCATCTTTACAACCAGCAAACTGGCAAGCTGCAACACAGCTACAGAAATGGCCCATCTAAAGCACCTGGGTTCCTTGATGATTATGCCTTCCTGATATCTGGACTTTTGGATCTATATGAGTTTGGCGGTTCAATATTCTGGTTGGCATGGGCAATTGAGTTGCAGCGTATGCAAGTAAGTTTTATACTTTTATACACCCACTGTTTGGCACCAGGCTCCCTTTATAGGTAGAGGAAGGACATTGTTGTTTTTGTTTGACACCAGACTATTATGTCGTCTCATGTTTCATATACACATATCTATCTACCAATATGTTCCAGGATGAACTATTCCTTGACAAAGAGGGAGGAGCTTACTTTAATAACCCAGGGGAGGATCCATCTGTTCTTCTCCGCTTGAAAGAAGACCATGATGGTGCAGAACCATCTGGGAACTCTGTTTCGGCAATTAATCTAGTCAGGTTGGCTTCTTTGGTTTCTAATGGATCTAATCACTACAGGGACACTTCAGAACGTCTATTGGTATGCCCTTCCTCTGCTTGACACTGATTTTCTACCATAGTTCTTTAGATGTTGTGAAGTAGGGTGAAAAAATGATACCAAACTAGTCATTGCCAACCTCGAAATTGCTTGATTAGAGCTCATTTTCAGTTTTGTTTCTTTAGACAAGGAAGCTGGAACAATTATTTTTTCTCTTCTGAGAGCTTGGCTAGAGCTCAATTCAAAAAGTAAAAAGACACCAATATTTTGAGCCACTCAAGCACGTCAAAAGCTTGAGCCCGGTTTGTTATAACACTCAAATTAGGCTGTTTTGGATCATGTCATTATACCCGTATTAGGTTGGCCTACTTTATGCGTCCATCACCACTCTGACGTGTCTGTCCACTTTTACCTGACACAACCTCACAGGCTGTCTTTGAGAAGAGGTTGAACGAAACGGCAGTGGGCGTGCCACTTATGTGTTGTGCTGCAGATATGCTGCTTTCTATCTCTCCGAGGAGGAAGCAGGTTGTCCTTGTTGGTCACAAGTTGTCACCAGAGTTTGACCGCATGTTGGCTGCTGCACATGCATCATATGATCCCAACAAAACAGTAAATTCTCACTACCATCCCACCCCCCCCCCCCCAATCCCCAAATACTGATATGTATGTGGCGCAGATGACTCGGACTAATGTGGGCCGACAGTCACTTTGCTAGCATTGAAGTTTCTCTGCACACACCAGCACCAATTAGTGTGCCCTCAATTATCCTATATCCTCAGACATACATCCTTTTTTCTGCCATTTTTATATAGGTGATTCACATAGACCCAAGCGACTCGGATGAATTGCGATTCTGGGAGGAAAACAACGAGAAGATAGCCACAATGGCGAAAACCAATTTTGTTGTTAGGGACAAGGTTGTGGCTCTGGTGTGCCAGAATTTTGCTTGCAGTCCTCCAGTTTACGATGCTAAAGCTCTTGAATCTTTGCTCTTGAAATGACCTAGCATATTGTCTTTGATGACAGTAGGAAGCTATAGTTGAAGAGGATGCAGATATACTGGTAAAGTACAAACTTGTGTGTGTCTGTAAAAGGATAAATCAAGGAGGATTTACATCAGAAAAACCTGTTTGTGCAAATTTCTTGTGATAACCTGTGGCCAATGTATTTCATGATTTCTATTTATTATAATGTACTGTATTTTTTATATCTTCGTTATTACAAGTCAACTTGTTTTTTGACTGTGTAGAGCTGGTCATTTGTGAACAACCATAGACCTAACAAAATAGGGTCAGGTCCGATATCTGAATCGATTGACCCAAAATCAAAACCGAAATGATCTGGAGAGTGGAGATATGATATGTAATCGAAAGTAAAGATCTGATCCATAATTGAACAATTGAAATGATCTAAACTCAACTAAAACTGAACTAAATATATTCATACTTGATTTATATTCAAAATTGAAATCAAAATGATCTGAGAAATGCAGATTTCATCTATAACTGAATAAGCGAAATGGTCTGAACAAAATCAATTAGACCCAACATTGATTTCTCCATACAATAAACATATTGTATTTATCTATACTAGTGAATAATTACATTCATGTGATTTCAAAATTTCATTCTATTTTACCATTTGAGCTAGTTGTGATGGTGTTAATAGTTTCAATTGTTTTTATCATTTTTACTGTGTGAAAATGATAAACGAACCTAACAATCATAAAAAATACCAATAAGCTATGTTTAATATAGAAACCCAAATTAGGAGAAAAGCAAGAAAACTAGTAGCCTTTTTCAGCGGTACCATGCCAACAGGCAATGTGGCGATTTTATTTATATCGTGAGTTTGTTTGGGACATAATATAGATTTTGTAGTCATTAATAGAGTTTTTTAGTTCTTTTTTTTAAACAGAAAACACAACTTCATTACCCATTTCAATCAATGTTTACAACTCATATCTAAGAGTCATCATTAGACTTCCCAATAACCTGCACCTTTTTAAAAAGAAAGAAAGAAAGAAAACATGTAAGAGGAAGGATAAGCACTGGTATCCTCCTCTGTAGTCCTCTTATGATGCAAAATCCTGTTCCTTGATCTCCAGATGTTGTACACACAGGCAGCCCATAGTGTTATGATCTTCTTTCTTTGTAGCTTCTCTTTAGTCTCCATCAGGATCTTCTCCAACTCCAAATCATCCAAACATGTGATATGAAATGAGAACTCAAAGCTGTTAAATACCTGCTGGTATACACTGCGCATCCACAGTCATAAATCTTCTCAGCCTTTTTTTGTTTTTAGTCTTCCACGCATCATCAACCAAACCACCACTTGAAACTTTGGGTGGGGGGGGGNTCCCTCCATTTTGTACTCATAGGTGTTGCCATGGCTTTGGTGTTGTCTATTTCGAACCGCTTTAGCAGCTCCTTGCAATACTTAATTTGGAAAATGAAAGTACCATCTCTCATTTTCTTTACTTGTATGCCCAAAAAGAATGTGAGCTCTCCCATCATTGACATCTCAAACTTACTAGTCATTAGCTGGTCAAGAGGATGATTCCTATTTATCCTCCATGCAGTGGGAAGTTCGGTCTTCTTCTTGTTCTTGTTCTTCCTCTTGCTCTTATTCTTCCTCTTGTTCTTCCTCACCTTGGGGATTTTCTTGTGTTTCTTCTTCAATTTGTGGTTGAATGTTGGTGTTTGCATCCGCTTCTTTTTCATCATCTTGAATGTGTATTTTTTCAAGTGAATCTGCAAGGTCATCACAAACATCCTTTCTCTCCAAGCGAGTATTATCCTCAAAAAACACAACATGAGGGGACTCCTCAATGGTCAAAGTATGTTTGTTGAAGACCCAATAGGCCTTGTTACGTAATGAGTAACCCAAAAAAATTCCTTCATCCGACTTAACATCAAATTTGCCGAAGTTATCTTTTCCATTGCTATGAACAAAACATTTTCAACTAAAGACTCGAAGATGGGAAAGGTTTGACTTTCTCCCTTTGTATAGTTCATAAGGCATTTTCATGAGTATCGGTCGAATGACGGCTCAATTTAACACGTAGCGCGTGGTACTCACGGCATCTGCCCAAAATTTTTTAGAGACTTTTGCCTCATTGATCATAGTTCTAGCCATCTCTTCGAGACATCTACTTTTACATTCCATCACTCCATTTTGTTGTGGTGTACGTGGGGCTGAGATATTATCTTTACGTTCCACCACCCATGGTCGCTTCTTATGGCTACAATGGTGGTGCCTTTTTCATTCTGGACTTTCTTTAGAAAATTTTTGAAAACATGAAATACCTCACTTTTATGAGTAAGAAACAAGGTCCATGTAAACCTAGAGTAGTCATCAACAATCACAAATGCAAAGTAATTGCCACCAAAACTTTTGGTTCTAGAAGGACCAAAGAGATTCATGTGCAAAAGTTGGAGCAGTCTAGACGTTGAAACAACGTTCTTAGACTTAAACGAAGCATGAACTTGCTTCCCCTTTTGACATGCATCACATATGGTGTCTTTTTCAAACTTAAGTTTTGAGATGCCAATTACTAAGTCTTGTGAAACCAATTTATTCAAAAGGTTTATGTTCATATGAGCTACCCTTCGGTGCCATAACCAAGTGTCTTCCTCCTTACTCATGAGGATCTTGGCAAAGTCGGAAGGGAATTTATCTAAGTTAACCATATAAATATTATCGATTCTATCACCACGTAGAATGACCTTATTGTCACTAAGACATTCTATCATGCATGATTTTGAATCGAAGGTCACACGGTTTCTCTTTTCACACAATTGACGTATGCTCAAGAGATTGTGTTTAAGACCCTTAACAAGCAAGACATTGTCTATAGATGAGTCTTCAGATTTACCTACCGAGCCAATGCCAATAATTTTCCCTTCAAAGACAACATTCCCTCCTTTAACGGGCTTTATTTGCAAGAACTTGGATGCATCTTTGGTCATGTGCTGGGAGCATCCGCTATCAAGGTACTCACACGAATAAGTTCCTTGATTGTGTGGATGTCATTGTACTTAGATTTACCATCCGCACGAATAAGTTCCTTGATTGTGTGAGGCCTGTAATGGGGCAATCATAAAAATGGGGCAATTACCAATCTAATATATGCTTAAAATACCCAATATAGCACTGCTATGAGATATTGGAACTCGTGTGGATGTAATTCCAAATTTGTCCTTGCATTCCACACTACCAAAAAATGTGTTTAAATTGGTATACACTTCCAGAACATGGGCATAACACACTGCCTGATACCCAATATAACATGTATCCATACTGCCAAAGCATGATCATTCTACACTGTCAAAAAATATGTTTAAGTTCGTATACACTTCCAAAACATGGGTATAAGACACTGCGACAAAGTGTAGTTAAGTATTGTGAACCATAACACACTGTCCAAAATATGGACATAACACAATGCCAGAAAGTGTTGACATAACATGACCATTTCATACTGCCAAAAAAGTTGGTATACACTTCTAATTTTGTTTGTTAAATGTGTTTAAGCAGTGAGGAGTGACATGATGGTTCTAAGTGCTACGTTCAAGGAATGAGAATAACCTCCTAAAATTATGGATCTCAAAAAATATGGTAAATGAAATAATTAAAATACTGCATTATAATAAAAGGGTATGACTGGAAGAGATCCATGCCATAAATAGCCAAATGTGTGAAAACAATAAGGAGTGTTATATGTGTAATATTGGGTGTCTTGGAAAGCTACATAGGGTGATTTCTAAAAGTAAAAAACCTAAATCTGATTTATTTGTACACTATTTTAGAAAAGATACAAAAAGTGGTGAAGTTTTTGGAGTTTGTCTTCATTGTGGGGCAATCATAAAAATGGGAGAAAGAATGTCGATAAAGTATGAAGGTTGGGGAGTAGATGTTGTGGAAAGGTTATTTTAGGACATTAAATATGAAGAAGTGAGAAGATAATTTTAGGACAGAGAGAGTAATATATATCTACAATGAATGAAAACCAGAAAAAGATATGCGACGATGAACGCTTTACGTTTTGTTATAACTATGGATAAAAATTAATGTCAAATATTATCATTTGTTGAAATATTTTTAAGAAGGTTGAAGTGCACTCTTAGTGAACTTTATATTATTGTTTCACGAGTGAAAATTAAGATATGGTTAAAAATATTAGTTCTAAATAATAATGAAAATTCTTGCAATTACACCAAAATGTTATATTCCCCGAAGGCTTTCAAACAAAATATGAATTTTAAAAAGACTTTGAGGTGTTTACTTTTAAATTTATATAGAAGCATTTTTATAACCCATTATTAAATGCCAAATTATTTATTTTTACTTCGATTTTAATGTCTAGAGAGTTTAAGAACGCATTACATATATTTCCATACTCATTTAAAATATTACATTTAAGATACTTTAAAAAATCAATAAAAATTTTGTTCGACACCATGCGTGGCACAGGTTAAATTACTAGTTAGTGCAAAAATTAAAGAGTAAAATAGTCATTTAGTTGAAAACGAGTGAATAGTCTGGTTTGATCTCAACCAAATAATGCCCCTTAGAGAAGAGTTCGGTTTGAGGGCATAAATGCCAAAGACCTCATCTTTGTGGCCAGCAAGCCAAACAACTGGATAATGAAATTTTTCAATAAATTAAACAACATTTGATTCCCCAAACCAGGCAAATATACAATGCTGCTAGGGTAACCTGGGAAATCTAGAGAAATCGGGCCGCCTGCGTTGCACATAGGCATCCTTCCCCTCGTTGGCTTCCTCGGTTCCGTAGAATAGTAGTGTGGCATCTCCTCCCAGCCCCTGATGGAAAAATCAAGAGTTAATTCTATTAGGTAGTGTTTGGCAACTAACATTTCATTTGAATTCATGCATTTCAATTCTAAAATTTGAAATCTTGAATTTCAAATGACAAGGGGAGATGCATGGATTTCAAATTAAGCTTTGTTATGAATGAGAAGAATTTGGCTCAAATCCAAATTCATAATTTTTAAGTTTCCCAAACATGGAATTTGAGTCAAATCCGAATTTGAAATCCAAATCCATGTTCCCAAACATACCATGTTAATACTATAACGAGGGGTGGTAAGATTATTACACCACTTCAATAAAGGCACATACAGTGCTCTGATCGTAAAATTAACTGTTCTTACCCCTAACCTCCGGTAAACCACCTATACCCGGCTCGTCCCTTACGGCACCCTGCACCCTCTCCAATTGCCAAATTTTTATTGACTTTATGGTCAATTTTTTTGCTCAAAATTTGGTTGGTGCAATTGGAGGGGATGCATAAGTGTGTAAGAGACTTGCCAGGTGTGGAGTGTTTACTAGGGGTAGGAAGAATCAATTTTAAGATCGGAGTAGCCTAGGTGCCTCAATCGAATTGATGTAACAATCTTACACCAATTCATTTGGGGTAAGATCCCCCTCCCCTCCCACCCCCACCACTATAATTTATTCACATTTCACATGTATCTTCTTGTATATATCTCAATCACAATATATTCATGTTCTTAATGTTTGTGCTCATTCAAAGTGAGCCCAAGAAAATGGGACAGAGGGAGTACATAATAAAGTACCAGTAACTCATTTTTGCAGGTAAAATCTTTGATCATTTTCTACTTAAGGTAGAGTTCTAAAAGAATTCTTGCCTGAAGTCCAGTGTGCCCATCGTCAACAGCATTGAGAGCCGATTTAAGGATCCGAATGGCAGTCGGGCTGTTTCTTAGTATCTCTCTACACCATTGTATAGTTTCTTGTTCCAGCTTCTCTAACTGAAAGAGATAAATCCCATTCTGCATTAGTGAATCCCAATAAAGATTGCTCATGACTGATAAATATAGATCAACTCACCTGGACAACAGTGTTTACGAGCCCCATTTTCTCTGCATCACATGCACTATAAAACCTCGTCAAAAACCACATTTCGCGAGCCTTCTTTGGACCAACCTGTCCAACCAATTCACCAAAAAAGAAAATTTATTCAACTCTCACAGATCAAGAGGCTTGTTTAATGTTCATTTTCACTTTAGTAATGAGAAGATACAGTGAAGAAGGAACACATAACTATTCAAATCTCACCAAACGAGACATTATGGAACTCCCATAGCCCGCATCAAAGCTCCCTACCTGAAATATATGTACCAAAGAATATTGGGTCAATTTTTAGTTTCACAGTGTCAGGCTTGTAATGTGCATAACTGTGACAACTGACAACCATATCTCATCTCATACTTGTCTAATGAATTTTTGGTCGTGGGAAAAAAATGAGGATGAGCGAGTTTGGGTTTATTTAATGTAAAACTTTGCTACACTACTCGTTCAAAGTCTGTTTTTTCATGAAATGAAGTTTTAATCAACTACTTTTGGGGAAATAAATGACATTTTTGACATTAAATTTTGTGATGCCGGCACCAATATGGATGGGATTAAGACATAGTGGTGATGATGAAGGCACTTCAGTGGTGGAAGTAATACATGTACAACATGAAGCAGAATGTGAGAAGACCTTCGGTCCAGTCTGACCAAATATAGCATTATCAGCTGCAATGGTCAAGTCACAAACCATGTGCAACACATGTCCTCCCCCAACAGCATAACCTGCAACCTTTTTTTTGGAGGATGTGAGTCTCACAAAGAGTAGGGTATGAAATAACGCTCTGAAGGCTCTCAATCCTATGCAAGTAAACATATTACCATTGCAATTACAGGCTTTGGAAGACGGCGAATCTGAACCTGCAATTTAAGTTTAAAAAAAGGGATAAAAACTATGAGAAATGAAGTTAGAAATCAGGTGCAGATTGAAACCAGCTGCAAAATTTGTTTCAACTTCTACCCTGCTAGGTTAAAGGATATCAAGATAACCAAACAATCACAGTGAAAAAATATAGCTTTGACGTGATTAAACATTTAAACATTGATGATTCAGGTGCAGACTACGCTTGCTATGTGTTTTGGTTCGAGCTCATAAATATAAATCCTTCTCAGCACAATTTGGAAGTTTGTTTTTTTTAAATATGAGAATTATATAGTTACTAGAAATAAATAATGACGAGGACATTGAGTTCATACTAATTTATCATCTCATATCTAGTTTATTTCAAAAAATTATAGCCTTAAAGCGATATTTTCTTGAAAAGAAAAAAATATCCCCTCCCTTCCCCTGCCCCTTTAAAAGCTAACTAAAGCACTAAACCGTTACCTGTAAATCTAAAACATTGAGACGGCCAAAATTTTCATAATCAGCATAGCCATCCTTATTCCTTAATGCCTGATCGCCCCCACTACAAAATGCCTCAGTCCCCTGTGTAAAGGAAAATATGATAATTCATTAAAGTTCATAAACGATACAAGCCTTCAAAATGCAACACACGCAGTAAATCATGAAGTGTTTGCCCCGATGAATTGGTCAATCACTTAATTAGTGAAGCAAGAAATGAACACAAATTTTGATCCATTAATGACAATATGTGAAAGACCACAAAAGAGTTCTGGAGATGTTTAGCAAAGTGTTATGTAAGATCATATTTGGTCATTTAAACAATTTGTGAAATTGAGGCACGCTTGCAAGAATATAGGTTATATAGGGATTCCCTTTCTTTTTCAACTTATCAAAGGCTAAGGATAATCAAATCGAGGCAGATGAATATGGTGAATACTTTTAAGCTTGTTTTATTTCCCATCCAGCACCTCAAATGGTAGTTTCTCAATCAAACCAAACCAAGCATATCCACTATGTCCAACCAACTCGGAAGTAGTGTATATGGTTTGTGCATTAAGAGGTTGTTTCCATGAAGATACCTGACTATAGTTTTCTAACAACGTTTCAAATAGGTATATACGGAGTTTTCTCAAGAGCATAAAATATTTTTGATCAAATTTCTTTTTCCTGCATTAAATATGAGAAATCAGTAGGATTGCAGAAATACCTTCCCAGTGAGGATGATGACCCCCACGGAACCATCATCCCTGGCATCACCAAATGCACAAATAAGTTCCTTAATTGTGTGAGGCCTGAAAGCATTTCTTCTTTCTGGTCTATTAATCGTTATCTGCCAAAGGAAAATAAAAAGAAAAGTATTAAAACAGAATATGTTTGTACTATATCATCAAAATAATACTACACTGGTGCAAATCTCTCTCAGAAACTGTAATGGATATTGTTGTTTATACACTCTAGAAATCCACACAGGCGAAAATATGTACGAATGAATAACTATCTGCTCTTTTGGATTGAGTCTAAAGCCAATTTATAAGCTCTTTGAGTTGAATTAGGTAATCGATTGGATTTGATCTTTTAATGTGGTTCAGCCGACCAAGCATCCGTGACCCTTATCCCATTGTAAATTCTATCCTGATATCAGAACAGGTTTTGGCTCACCACGTTTGTTTGTAAGGATGTCCGTCTAGAAGTTCATTCCTATCGGCCCAACAGATTTTGTAGGGACGGGAGTCTAATTAAAGTCCTCAACCCATTAGATTCAAAATGATGGGGTTTTAGAACTTTGAAAGTGTCTAATTCCTAACGAAACTAACTTTTTTCTTGGGTAGTTTATGCAAATGGAACTTAAACATATCACTTTTCCCCAAATAGGACCGGTTCTATTTACTCTAATGTTTGGCAATGGAAAGTTCTAAAATGTCATGCCTTTGAAAAGAATGACTTATTACACAAATCAAATAGAATAAGACATTAATAAAAACAATTTGAATAATTATTGAAAAAATCAGTCATTTTTCAACACTTATTGCTAATGACCACAATCGTAGTCATTCATATATTTAGTCATTATCCAATACGAAAACATGTGTCATTAAGAGAATAAAACATACTTAGTCCTATTCAGGAAAACATATTACGTTTTAGTCCCAAATTTTTCTTCTTTCTAAGCAAAACTACTGAACTTTTTTAAACACAGTTCATAGCATCAAGATGATGAACTACGAGGAGAAAACACAAGTACCTTAGCAATGGCTTCCCCAACAGCCTTCTCGTAGATGATGTCAGTGAACTCCTTGCCGGACTCATAGAAAGGCACCGATTCCCAAACGGGCGCGTGGGTGGGGACTTCGCCGTGGACTCTGTGGTAGCTATCGTTCAGGGAAGAGCTGCAAATCGACGGTCTAATCGAGGAAAGAAGCGGCGGAGGCGATTGCGCCGGCGAGAGGTGGTTGGCGACGGAGGCCACCCTGCGTGCGGCGGTGTTGATTCGGTCCCTGTCTGAAGCTCCGGCCATTGCTCAGCCTATCGAGCTCTGCTGGTTCCATAAGAATTTCTAGTTAAGATTAGAGCGAGCAATTGATGATAGGATGATGATGAGAGATAAGATAAGATATGAGAGAGAGAGAGAGAGAGAGAGAGAGAGAGAGAGAGTTGTGTGACCCCTCGTTCCGTTCCACGTGAGCATAGCCATAGATACAGTACACAGTCATGCCCATTTTGTTCGGGTGCGCCTAGATCATGGGTTGGTTGTTCTCCTTCCCTCCCCCATTTATTTCTCTATATCTCTTATATCAAAATGACTATTAAAATATTATTCATTATATTCCTTAAATGATTTTTTATTAAATATTTATATAATGTACTATTGTATGAACTTACAAATTTAATGAAAAGTATAATTGTACTTCATTTTTTTATGGTTTTGATAATAACATTATAATTCATTAATAAAATTAAAAAAGTTAATTAAATTTATTTCAACAAAAAATATTTAATTTAATTATGCTAAAATATTTAAAAAATTGTTTATAGATTAACACTACGAATGACAGAATATTAATCGCATTAATTGAAAACATGGATACAATAATTAAAATATCTCGACGAACTACATACAAGTTAAACATAAATTTAAATAATACTATGTGGTGTTATTGAAACGCCAAACATGCTCCATCAAATCAAATCTGTATGTAATTGCCGATGAGTTGCACTAACCAAACATGAATATTCTTCCTATGTCCAATTCTTCTTTTTTCTACTACTTTTCTCCACTTGACTTTGGTCATGGGTTTCAGCTTCATTAATATCTCCCCAGTCTTGGAAGAGTGTGAAGGAGGACTACCCATGGGGTGTGACATAGGTTTTTGTGAGAATTGAAAAAGATTGTCTCTAGAATGCATAATATATGGAAGGCAAAATGCAGCATCCAAAATGTCAAACCCATTTCATATGAAGAAATGGGTCAAACCAGACAAGATTTTCAAAGTTAATATATATTTTTGTTGTGATAAGATTAATTGAACTGTACCATATATATTTTGGTTGGGTATTATTCTTTCAAGACAGATACACCTGCACACTTGTTGTTATAACCACCCTGCACACCGGGCACACCCCCCCAACAGACCCTTCACAATCTCTACACACACACAGATGCCTACATGGCATCAACAACACCGACACCTCCTTCGATTTGCACGACCGACAGACCATGCTGATGTCACTCTTCTCCCGTGGGGCCCACGGAGACACGCCGAGGGCGAAGTTTGGGTAAATCCCGGACGTGGCGGCATCGTCCATCTCGCAGCTGTCACCGAACCCTTCTTCTTTGGCCTTCTGATCAGCAGCGGCTGCGGCACTGTGCATTGCCTGCTGGAGGTTGGTTTTGAGCATGTTGACCATGCTCTCGCTGTACTTTGCCCTGTAGCACCAATTCTGTGCTTCAGCGGCCGTCTGTTTCATCCTCTCAACCAACTCTTTGTTTTTCCGATTGATGTTCTCCAGCTCAAAATCCTTCTCCTCCAGCTTTGTGACGATGCCCTTCTGTATGGCACTCAAAAAAGATGCCATGTGCCTTCGCTTTATCTCCCGGAGCCCTTTTGTCAGTGCTTCTTCCTGTTAAACAAACCATTNGCTGGAGGTTGGTTTTGAGCATGTTGACCATGCTCTCGCTGTACTTTGCCCTGTAGCACCAATTCTGTGCTTCAGCGGCCGTCTGTTTCATCCTCTCAACCAACTCTTTGTTTTTCCGATTGATGTTCTCCAGCTCAAAATCCTTCTCCTCCAGCTTTGTGACGATGCCCTTCTGTATGGCACTCAAAAAAGATGCCATGTGCCTTCGCTTTATCTCCCGGAGCCCTTTTGTCAGTGCTTCTTCCTGTTAAACAAACCATTTGCAGATCAAATTATGAACATTAAGATGTCAAGCCTTTTTAACACAATGTTTTGTTCAAGGAATTTGAAAAGGAAAAGAAAAGATAAATAAAGACATAATGTGGGAAACAATTTTTCTTGTTTGGTTAGAGAGGAAAAGAAAATGAGAAGGAAAAATGTACTATTAGGAAGGAAAACCAAATTTCTCCCATTTTGGTAAGGAAAATGAGAGAAAATAATTCTTTTATTTTTCCTTCCAAATTCCTTTAACCAAAACATAGTGTAGAGGTTAGGCAAAAAATTCCAATGAAGCATCTTTTAACATTATTTTTCCAAGCTACAAAAGGAAAGTTGGCTTCTTTTGTCAAAAACGACTCCTTTTTTTGGATAAAATGACCTTTCAGGAAGTACTTCCTTTGGTTAAACGGACTTTTTAAGCAAAAACTCTCTTTGGCCTTGTCAGAGCTTGGAGAGGGGGTGGAAGTGGGATTGCTATTGGTTACCAAACTTGTCCCTATATTTTGAAGTACAATGCAAAGTACCCAACAACTCCATAGTAAGTAGTGATGAATTTAAAATATTAATGTAGGGGAAAGTGGGAAACGGTTAATGTCCAAGAATGACAATGTCTTTTAGTGTGTTTCGATTTTGGAGCCAGGAAATGGAGGGAATGCCGAATGTAAAGAAAAATCAAAATCAATTAAGAATTTTTTCACATAGATTTGGACTTGTGGACTCTATACACATAACAATTATAAGAAAGAGAGTTTGAACGAATTTCTAAAATCGATTTATTGAGTTTAATTTTGTTAATCTCCAAAACAAAAACATCAGGGGACGATCAGAAAACAAACATTGCGAAAAAACTCTATTGTGATTTGTGAGCTCACATACCTGAATCTTAAGGTACTGATCAAACTCTCTCTTTTGGCTGTCAAGTTCCATTTTAATACCTCCAGTCAAAGACAGCATTACTGATGAGGGATTGCTCATACTTCCACTTGACGTGACAGAAGAGCTGTGTTCCTCGTCATCATATGACAACCTTAAACCGGTTGAAACTTGGCTGTGTGTGGGCATCCTCACTGGTGGATCGGCTTCATCAAGACCCATATTATTATTGTTGTTGTTGTTGTTATTATTATTATTCAAGGAAATTTGAAGCTTATGCTGCATGGCAATGTTCTCTACATCTCTTCCACATTTACTTGGCCTGACTAGAGGAGTGTTGGTATGTTCGCTCCCAAAATAATTTGTTGGACCCATGGTGAATCCAACGGGTGTAGTGGCTTGATCTAATATATATAAATTGTAATTGTTAATATCTCAAAAAAATGCTTGCAGTTTCAAGAAATTGAATGGTTAAGATCGCTACATTTACTGAAAAGATAAAGAAGATGTGCTTGACAGTAGTGATTTTTTGTTTTCATCTTCACCCATGAGCATAAAAACAGCAGTCTTTAATATAAAACAGAGCATGGTTAATTGAAATACAATTTCTAACAAACCATTTCCAGCGCTATACGAAAAATGGTGTCAAAATTTGGTACTTTTTCACTTTTGAAATGCAATTTCTAACACACTACATTCAACGCGATACAAAAAAATTTTGTTAAAATTTGGTACTTTTTACTTTTAGACAAAGAATGATGTATGTTCCTAAGACTAAAAGAGGTGCCCAAAGTGAGAGAAATAACTTTAAATAGTTCAAAATTTTCACATTAAGGAAATCAACACCTAAATGCTCATTCTTGAGAAACTACAAATGAAAAAAAAATCAACTTCTGCCACACAAGCTTGAGACTACATGGAGAGAGAGTCATAGATATCAAAAGAAATGCAAAGCAAAGCATGTGAATTAATGAACACAACAAACCGTTGCACAAAGCAAACACTTCTAGACTAGATAAATCGTGGTTTAGAAAAATCAAAATGCCAAATAAGTTGAGAGAATGAGGTGGAACGTACAGTTTCCAAACAATTGGAGCTGATTTGACGCATTAGTTGGGTACTGGAAGCCATTCTCATCGAGAAAAACAGGAATTATGTTGTTGTTGTTGTTGCTTTCTCCCAGCATTTTTAAACCGTAAAAATTTAAACACACAGCTGCAACTACAGAATAGTAGAAAAAATACTTGTGTTATGAGCAATCTAACAATAGATTCCATTGTTAAAGCAACAACATAAAAACATACAATATATTAGAGCAATATGCATACATGAAATTTGAGGGAAAAATGAAATTTTCTTGTTTCTAACCGTTGTGAAATGTGCATTGATTTGTTATATGCACGGTGACTATTAAGTGCTACTTCAGTCTTCGCATTTTAAAAGATTTGCACAATATTCAATAAGCTAAATCAATGGTTAATTCTACAGTAAACAATACTGTAAGTGAAGGAACAAATGTTGCGAGCAGCTAAATGCAATTCAATCACACATCCTCGCACAAATTGGATCATCCTAATCTTGCAAATTGGTTAAAAACAGATATTGATATTGCTCCATCCCAGAAAAAGAATCATGGTAGGTGAATGTAAAAGTCTTTTTGGCCGTTCAGATCTTTAAAAAACATGGAATCCTACTCTTACATTTTTACAGTGCATTTTTTGTGCAAGTAAAATCTAACATATTGAACTTATTTGGATCCTTTTCTAGACAAATCACATATCTAATTAGCTCTTTTTATGAAATGAGATAACATTTCTCTGCAACAAGTAAAATTTTTAAACCTCTCTTTTGGGATGAATAAAGTATGGCTCATAAGTCACTATATAAAGAGATCACCGAAAGCCAAAATCCATAAAATGAAATAACAACAAAAAAAAATAATACTACAAACCATCATCATCATAGGAATAATAAAAATAGTTTCTTTCTTTGAAAAGCTTGAGTTTTTTATTTTCCTCATTTACAAATAGTCCCCAAAAGAGAGAAAAACCATTACTTCCGTTAAAATATTTGTTTGCCCCCCATACTTTGCATCAAAATCAGCACTTGATCATACTAAATTCATACCACCACACATGAAAAAACAGAAAGACATCAAAGCAAACTACAATCAAATCCTTATGCATGATTTGCCCACAGTAGAAATAAAAAAAAGAGGGTATATAAATAGAAAATTACCCAGAAGAGACAAATCTTCCAATTCAATGAAATTATTCCTTATAGCCCTACAAAATTTACCCCAATCCAAGTCAATCAAAGAAAGATGCAATCTATATCTCCATACTTTCACTCCATCAAAAGCATCATCAAATAAAAAGAAAAGGGACAAAAAGCAATAAAGCTTACCTGCTTGAAGATCAAGAGAGAGAAATGGGACTGGTCTAGAAATGCTTGACAGTGATTAAATAGAAATAAAAAAACCCAAAAAAAAAGTAACTGACGGGTTTCAAGAAGATGGATTGAATTTATGGCAAAGAAGAGTGAGTTGGGTGGTGGTTACGTGAATTGGATGATGGATGCACAAGGCGTTTCCTCGAGATTCAAGAACAACAAAGCGTGAAGCTTTTTTTATTTTTAGCAAATGATTTTGAAAATAATAATAATAATAATAATAAATTGGGAGCAGGCAAACAAGCAAAGAAATCTTGGAATTATGGTAGAGAAGAAAACGTCGGAAAGAAAGGTAAGGGAGTTAAGAAGACTTTGTCTATGGAAGTGGTGCGTGGGTGCGTGATGGGGAGGGGCAGAACTACCGCCCATCCAACTCCCTTAATGCTAAAGAGGATTGATTCCACCATACATGCAATTTTTAGGGACCATTTCTAAAGACCACAATTTCATGATTGATGAATTTGAATAGGCAAAAAAAATAGGAGGTGAAGGAAATCAACATGGCATCTTGAAATGTACTCCATCTATCCAACAATTTTTTCTCGTTTTGACTTGACAGATTAAAAAAAGTAAAAAAAAATAAAGAATTTTCATGTGTGATCTTGATGTGATATAATAAAGTGAATAGTGTAGATGAAAAGTGAGTGTGTAATGGTACATTCTTTAAAAGTTTTTTTTCCAAAATAGGAAACGGAAAATAAATTTTTGGATAACCCAAAAAGGAAAATGGGACAGAAATTATTAGACGGAGGGAGTATGTACTTTGGACGGACACGAGTCGATTCTAGTTTGGTTTGAGTTTCAAAACCGACACTTCTTGATTTATGGGACAGAAGCGTGTAGGAAGAAGGGATGAATTCGGATTCTACCGATGATTTCAGTTCAACTTTTTTGAAGAGATGTAAAAATAGAAAGTGAATAAGCATTAAAAATGCAAATACATATAGATGTTCAAGTGAATCAAAATTAAAAACAGAAAAATGGAACCCGTATTGGAATTAGAGTTGTAAAACGAACGAATAATTTTGATTCAATTCGTGATTCATATTCGAAATGATTCGTATCCGAAAAAGTGAATATGAATAAGAATATAAATATTTACTAGAATTTGAAAAGAAACAAATACAAATACAAATGCATGTATTCGATTCGATATGTTAACAAATATATTCGAATTGGAATATAAATATTTATGCCTAATATATTTACTTCATAATAAATGTGAAGCATAATTTACATACAGAGCACTTCGTATGGGCAATGTTTGCGTACCTAAACTCTCCCCAGACTCTAATCTCGTGTGATCTAATTGAATTGTTTTTGGTGGTGTTGTTGTGAACATGCAATGTCATTTGTGGTACCAAGTATATGATTAATTTATTGGGTAATAATTTTGAAGCTATAAAATGTAAAAGAAACTTAAATTTTGAAATTTTGTAATTGAATACGAATGCAAACCGAATATTTTAATTTAATATCAAATCAAATACGAATAGTAATAATTATTTGAACAAAAAATGAATATGAATATGAATAATTGTATCAATTTTCAAATATCCCACCCTGGTTGGTCCTAGTCCGGTTTCATGTCCCCCTACCCTACACGTATGACTTTGGAACTGTCAAGGTTCTGGACTGGAACCATGTTCACCCATATATGCTCTGTCTAGGATTTGAATTTGTTTGTCTTTATTTTTTCCATTTCACGTATCGCCTACTTTGAAAAAAATCTCAATAAAACTAAAATATGATTCCTTTCCTTGCATAAAATAAAATTTTCATCTTTCTATAAATATTACCAAATGAATTTTAAAAAGTTTTAATGCAAAAGTACCAAAAATGCCCTTTCTTTATAATTGTAATGTTGGATTTATTGGTTTCCGGTTAAAGTATGCTTAGTCTAGTAAGAGACCCCAAGAGTCCATATGATATGGTAATGAGTTATAACCACTCTGTATTAAATAGTAGGAATGAATAAAATATGGACATAATAGGTGATAGTGTAAATTAGTTGGATCAGGGCAACTATTCTGACTAGGTTGAGGATGTTGAAAGATGTACGGATATACTGATGGCCCCAAACAAAGAACAAGAATTAAATGAATCTGAATTTATAGGTTATTCAGATTTTACAATAGTGAAAAATAAATCTCGTGTAATAATACTCCGCAATAACCTTCAAGTGTAATTTCACCAACATAACCTTTGTCGCAGGATAATTGATACACACATGACCAATAATTTAGTCTCTCTATCAACAATTGCTTTTGTTGAGAATTAAACTCGTGACCTTGTATTTGCAAAAGGTAGTGACGCCCCACTCCTTAAGGGTGTAGGCAAGAGTGCGATAGCCCTTGGCCTCTAAGAAGCATACGGAGAGGTACCAAGGAGGAGCAATATCTCAGGTGGTGAAGAAGTTGCGGAGTCTCTCTAGCTCCTTCACCATTTGGAACCAAAAGAATGACTTGTCATTGTAGCGGTAGATGATTTCTTCATATTCTATTATTTGAATAGCCGTCTTCTTCCTTGATGATGTAATGGTGGTCGGCTTGGAAGAAGAATTTTTTAATCTTCTGTTATACCCGTCTTTTCACAGATGACTCAAGAAATGTGTACATATTTGTGTTTTGATCTTGAATGGTATGAAATGTCCTTATAAAAAAGGATGTTTGTGAGTGAAGATAATAAAACAAAATGATCAATATATAGAATAGAAGTTCAAAATGGCGATTGCAAATTGAAAATATTGTTGTTGAACCATAATTGATGTGTGCAACGAATTTATTTTTGAAAAATTAGGAGCGGAAAATTGATTGTATTGGTAAAGATTAAATTTTATAGGTTTAAGTGAATATCAACAAATTGCCTAACCCTGGGACAAAATCGATTATTCATTAACAACATTGGCTGTGTGTCTGATTGAATGAAAATGAAGTGAAGGCAAGAAAATTGTTTGTGTACATATGAAATCTATTTTATTTGTTCTATGAAGTTTAGGGCAAATAATATTGATAAATTTATTGGGATGTGATAGAAAATGCCACGACCGATGAACTTGGCGACCATCACCTCCAAGTAAATTATTTTGAGTTAGAGACAAATTGATGATTCGTAACTCAAAAACTTACTATAAATAGAATTGGACAAAATTAATAAGACGGTTTGAAATAGAAAAGTAAACAAAAACACAAGGAGAAAGGGATATACTAAGATCTTGTTCTCATCGTTTGGTTTGAGCAGTTCTATATGAGTTTATTAATGTTTGGCTTAATTTGCTTATTTTTTATTTTTTTAGACTGTTTCTAGTATCGTTTGCTCTTGAGTGACACGAATTTTAGTTATCTGATATGATTCAAATAAGAATAAGTTATACTCCGTACAAGTTAAAAAATATATATCTTAGGAGGCTGTTCTCATCAACTTATTCTTATTACTTACGGAGTATTAGTTTTTTTATTAAAAATTAGATCATATAAAATCAGATCAGATTGAAAATAACAACAATAATAACCCGATAAATCATACAAAAGTTGGTATCCAACAACAACAACAATATTATAGAATCCCGATCAAAATTACTTTAAAAGTGAATTGAATTAGATGAGATTAGACTTTAATAAAATCAGATCAACCACGATCAAACTAGAAAAATAAAACAGATTATTTGAGGAGTATGGAGGCTAACGGATGGGGGTAGAGGGAGGAAGGGGTAGGGGCGGATGACGCGTTTTGGCAAAAGACGAAGGACAGTGGGGTGAGAGACAAAGGGTAAGGGCAGTAGTGTGTGTTAGTCTTGGTTTCCCAAATTTCATATTTTGATGTTAATAAATAATGTATGAGCTAATGTTTGTTTAAGTGTTTCACAAACAACAAAAATCTATTAAGAACATGTTTTTAAGAACAAAATTGAAAATTCAAACGGGTGATTTTATATGCTTACATTCACAAGGTAAAATATGCTTATAAAATGTGTTAAAAATTGTTTTATAATCACTTTTAATTTGATATGCAAAAGGTTTTAAACAAAAATAGAATGAATTCGACCAAAACTAGAAAAATCAACACAATGGTCTGCTACCTACAATGACATCTAGGCACTGCCTCACAGTAGCCATCCTATCGCATTGTTAGCGAATGCCATAATGATTTTTCCTGATCCGATACCTATGCTACTGCCACCCGGTACCTTATTACTGTGTAACGGTTCCAAGCTAGCTACCATGTACCCATGGGTGGCCTGAAGGGTGTGCAAAGTGGCCAATCGCACAAGGCCTTTAAAATTATAGGGCCCTATATTTTTAAATATATCATTAATTTTGAAGCATAAGTATTCTAAAATAATAAAATAGGGCACAAAATATAAATTTCGGACCGGGCCAATTTCATTTTTCATTTTTCGAGACCGGCCATGGCCATGCATGTACCAGTATTATAGCTACCTTTTTAACGGATTTTTTTTCAAAATGCTCATTTTAAATCTAATCACATTTGATTAGCCAGAATTGCTCCTAATTGATCCCCAATAGTAAATGGACACTTTTGATATTCAGCTATAGAACATGTTTTAACCCATCATTTTTCTACAATAATTCAAGCTTTTTTGAGGGTGTTCGCCAGTGCGCTGCTTTTAAAAATTTAGCTTCTCCTTTAAGTGGTAGTAATTCCACTCTGTTTTACATGTCAATTTTTGCTTTTCTCCACCACTATTTTGTACACAGAACACTATTTCAGAGAAGCAATTATGAGATGATTTTGCTTTCAGGTTTTGTGGAAATTACTTTATCCACAAATTAATTACTCCCAAATACCTTCTTAATTTCCCATTCTCATATTCAAGTCGTGTTCTTACTTCTGTTCTTATTTCTTCATATTTCGGCATAAAAGAGTCTTGATTCTATTCTAATTTTCACAAACACATATTGAGCTTGTGATATAGTAATATACATTCATATTCATTGGTTGATTTTATATTTTCAAAGAGTGTACAATCTCGTTCTATACTGGGCAGGTCCTATTCTTAAACATTCATAAAGAGGTCGTGGTGTAGAACTCTATTTATCTAATTTTCATAACCTTCTACATTTGAGAATATCCTTAAAATTCTCACGTTGTAGTGGTTAATTATAGCCAATAAATACTTGGGTAAAAGTTCAAGAATAGTCTGCAAATCTTTGGGAGAACGGTTGAAGATAGCTGTGAATTTTTTGTGTGTAAATGGTTCGAGATAACCGTTGTGAAATCTCGAGTGAGTAAACCCTATTGGCAAGGGTTATTTGCCAAATCTAGTAGGGTGCTTTGACAAAATTTAAGAGGATTGGCTTAGTGGTTTCAGAAATATTTAATGAAAAGCCTTAAGTCAATGGAGTACGTGTTTCCCAAACCAATATAAATTAATGTGTACTTTCACTCATGCTTTTTTTCCTCATTATTTTCATTGCTTCCGCATTTCCCAACACCAATTTTATTGAACTTTGATTTTTTTTTAGTGCTTTATTCACTCTCTAAAGCATGGACTAATAAACTAAGAGTGTGAACGAGGGGTAGGAGGAGGGTAGGGTGGGGCGAGGGAGAGAGGTGGGGGTTGATGGGGGGGTGGTAGGGTAGGGTGGGTAGGGGATAGGAGTGGCTCGGAATCAAAATTATCTGAAAAAATATTTTCACAATCAAACGAACTCTAAGGGCATGTTTGAGATTAGTTTTAGCGTTTTCGATAAAAATTTTAACGATGCAGATTATTTTAAAATTATTAACGCTAAATACTGTTCGTAGATAATCCTTTCAAAACGCTAACGCTAATCTCTAACGTTATTCCCAAACAAGTTCTAAATCTCAAACATATGCGGTTATGGGCTTTCCAAAGTCCAAAGTGGGGCTTGTCTTCTAAAATTCAAGCTCCAAGGGATCCAACCGGGCTCTAATCTTCGATTGGAGAATTTTAATAGGGTTTGGGACGGGCGAAAAAGAAAAAAATCAAAACAGTACGAGTAATAAAAAGAGGGAAAAGCTACTCTTTGCTTTCTCCTCCGTCGCCATGTCTTCAAACAACCCATCTCAGCTACTCCCATCTGGTACTTCTCATTCTTCTTCTATTCCATTCATTTCCTAAGCAGTTTTCCTTCTCTGGATTAAACTTTCGAAAGCATTTGACTTATTTTTTTGCCTTCCAGAGCTTATTGATCGCTGCATCGGGTCCAAAATCTGGGTCATAATGAAAGGGGACAAGGAGCTTGTTGGAACCCTTAGAGGATTCGATGTTTATGTTAACATGGTTCTCGAAGATGTCACTGAGTAGTACGTTCCTTCTTCTCTGCTTCCCTTTTCTTCAAATTTATGATTTTACTTCGGTAGTGTTCGGAAAAAGCCGATAGTTAAGCTAGGGTTTACTCGTAGGAGAGTACATTTTGCTCATTTTTTGTGGCTTTGCTTTGATGATTATTTAGTTGTTTTTGGTGGTTTGGTTTGTGTTTGAGATATTGCAGTGACAAATATTTGTGCTCCATTTGGATTGAGGCTAACCTGTGCTATTGTAAATTTTATTAGTTAACCTAGGTCAATGGTTTTAATCAATTGAATATCTTATGATGTTTGGATACTATTAGCTCTGCCTAGTTAATCTATATTTTAACCTGAGTTGGGATGAATTAAAAGAAAATATGTACCAAAATACATCACTACGTTTACCCTGATTTTGGTGTAGAATAAATTGGTTGAGTTGGGTTAATTAAGTTTTCTCATCTAATTTAATATAATAATAACAAATTATTTACCAATATTCACCTAGGTTCACCTCAATCCAAACAAAGCTTCACTAGTTGGACTTGGGTTACCATGTGGATAGAGTAATGAGCATACCTGTTAGAGAGATTTTTGTGTGGAAATATGGCTTAATTGAAGAATGTTTCCCAATTCTCAATTAGAAATAACAATTCTTGTCACCATGATACTCTGAAACAAATGTGTCTGAGTGATTGGCCAAATACTACGGAGTATGAAGGTAGTGTTGCTCTTTTTTTATCCTTAGTATGGGATTGAGCACTTGGAACTGCTACTCGGGAAAGGGATAAGGACTTAAGATAGCATTCCTTTTCTTGAACTCATTAAGAAGTATTTAAAATGCCTATGGATGACTGTCGTGTTCAACCATTTTAATGTTATAGCTTGCAGATCTTATATCTGGTTTTTTAGGATATCTCTTCAGATATAATTTAAAGTGATGTACATACTAAGGTTTTGTCTACACATGCCATCAAATATGATTTGAAAGTGGAAGAAAGTATAATGACCAAATACCCTTTGATGAAAGTATGAAACTGATTTTTCATCCAAAACCAGCTCTTAAACTAAGTATGATAGCTCAATGATAACTCCTGAACTTCAAATATATGCTGAGAAAGAAGATTCTTTTTGTAGGACATGGAGAGTCTTACATTTAAAATATATTTGATTCAAATGTATTACTCCCTCCGTCCCGATTTATATTGCCCGTTTTGACTTTGAGGCATATTTAAGAAAAGCAAAAAATGGCATTGACCTTCCAAAAATGCCCTTACACCAGCTCCTCACCCTCCTCTCTCATACGCACATCAAATATACACCATACAAACAATGGAACATCCATGAACAACTCCCAAAATTACATCGGTCCAAATTACATCAAAACATTAACTTTCAAAAAATTGAAGGGAAAAAAATAATAGTAGGAGCTTAAACAACATTGGCAACAGGAGTACATCATTCAATATCTGAAAATTCATCACCCATTCCGTAGATCTTCAAGTCTAACATGAACACAAGACCCAAAACTCTTCAAGATCTGAAAATTTAAGGAGGCCACAAATTAACATACAAATATAGAAAAAATATTGATAAAACCATCAAAACAAAATCTAAATAACGAGAAAACCCTAGATCTTAAATGAACATAAGATCGAAAAAGTAAAACCAAGGAATACTTAAAAAACAAACCTGGACGGAGGACGAAACACACCTCGACGAAACCGAAATCTAAAAAACAAACCTGGACAAAATCAAAATTGGAAAGACATACCTGGTTGGAATCCAAAAAAATATAATCAGATGAGGAAAGGGAAGAAGAGTAATGAAGCATGCGTCGACAATGGCGGTTGAATTGAGGAGAAGATGATGAGTGTGAAAAGAGATAGAGGAAGGCCATGGATTGAAGAGGGATGCCTAAAAAAAAGTAGTGGAAGAGAGATAATGGATGGTGGGAGTGAAAGGGCGAGAAGATAAGATTGAGATAAGGGATGGGTAGTTTAGAGATTTCACTTGTAAAAGCTTACTAAAATAGGAAACAGGAAAATTAATTTGGGACGGACGAAAAAGGAAAATAGGCAATTTAAATTGGGACGGAGGGAGTAATGAATATTGATGTGAAGTTGCTGAAATGGGTAAAAGGCTGTAGGCTTCAATTGATTTTCAGTGTTTCCGCCTCAAACTTTTTTTTTGCAACATTTTCTTTGTTCTTTTCCCATCCGTGTATGTATGCTTCTCACACATAAATGCAATTACATATGTGAATAGAGCTGTAAATACACTATATAAATTTAAGGAAAAATTTACACCAATACTCCAAAGAGTGCGAGAATTTACACTATTACTCCCAAACTTAATAAATACTACCTCCGTCCCAGAGTAGTTGTCCACTTTCATTTTTACACACCATTCAATACACTTCTTTAATCCATTTTATCTTGTAATTTGTATATTAAAAAATTATAGAAATTATATATTAATAATCTATATGTTAAGACAAATCAAACAAGATCACACATGACTATATTTAGGCTTAGACATTGAGAGAATTTGATGAGTCAAAGTGCTTAGATGAACAGTTCCAAAAGTCAAAACTGGACGAATACTCCGGGACGGAGGGAGTAACATCATTACTCCCAAAATTGTTCTACTCCGTATTTTTATGTAAATACTGTCTGCCACTTCACCTGGAAAATAACCTTGTGTAATGTCTAAGTGGAGTTAAAATGGATGACTTGGAAAATGAAACCCTTCATCCTGCCTCACCACCTCATTAGCTTCTCTCGGGACTCAGCTCAGAGCTCCACCAACATCGCCGACCTATAAATCTGGTACTATGGTATTGTTCTGGTCATCTGGTGTCCAAATATTGGTGACGAAATGTCTCCTTTTTCTTTACATTTTTTCTTAGTTTAAAGGAAATTGAAATGAAAGGTATGAATTCATCAATGTCAATTTCAAGAGGGCAGGAAAGCCATGCCTTGACAGTGCTGAAAATTTTATAAATCTATCACCTTGAGGGCTTACAAAAAATTAGGGCTTAGATCTTTAAAAGTTGGGGATTTTTTCTTTCCAGATTTTATTATTTCACGCAGATTATTTTTCCTCATGTTATTTTGGGCTCTGTGCACAGTCGCCTTGGTAGCTGGAATTTCTTGATCCCGGCATTGTCGCCTCGTATATCTCGGCACGATCCCTTTGTTATTGGTGGGGTAGGAGGAAGTGTTTCATTTGGACCATGCTAGTCATCCAACCATTTTAATTCCACGTAGACATTAGAGAGGCGGAGTATTTATGTAAAAATAGAACAATTGTGGGAGTTATGGTGTTACTTATTAAATTTGGGGGTAATACTGTAAAATCTCCCATTTCTTGGAGTATTAGTGTAAATTTTCCCTAAATCTAAACTTTTGTAATGCTATGGGCCAAACTTTTGGGATCTATAATGTGATCGTTGAAACTGATTATATCATTGCTTACAACTTCATACACATACTCAATCATCTTTGTGTTTGAGCTGCTTTTACACGCATTGTATCTAAAGTTAGTCATTTTCAACGATCATTATAGAGTTAGTGTAGGGCCAATGAGATAAAATTGTTTCCGTTAATGTTTTAGCTTCGGGCAAATGATATACTAAATCAAAATGACACTTTAAACTTTCTTTCTTACGTTTTATGAAGTTTTAGGAAATAAATGCAACAATGCATCATGAGTCTAAAAGAAACATCCTTTTTTATCAACGGGTAAATGATAATGTTTTTTTCAGGGTAAGACTGATTGCATCTTGATCCCAATGGAGTTGGGATTATATTGGGTTGTTGTTGATTGAGTAAGCTCAAGTTTATTTTTTTTGTTGAAAGTTGAGGACCATTTTTGAGTATTTGGAAAACAGATAATACTTTTAAGATCCGTAATATATGCCCACTTTTGACTTTAAAGGGGAGAACTAATCGTGTAACTGCCTTAAGAATATAAGTTCCCAACAACAACATTACCCCAGTGCCTTAAAGACTCCCATCTATTGTGGGGTGGGGGGGGGGTGGATTTGGATGTATGTTGACTGA